AGGATCAGGTTTCGAGGATTTGAGGAAATTCGGGGCTTGGCCTGAACACACTCTATTTTGATGCTTTCTATGCACCCTGGCACCTTATTTACATTAAAAGTACAAAAAAGATCCCATTGTGAATCAACTTATTTCAGCTGGGAATAAGAACAAAAACTGGTTGGGAGGGAACCCAGCATCCTGTCTGGCCCACAGGCCACTATTTGAATATCACTGGTATAGGCTCTCTCTAGACGCCTACCCTACACTGTAGCTTGACATACACCTCCTCAGAAATGTAACTACACGCTGCGGCAACGTAGACCATCTATTTATTTTTGTAAACTGACAACCATTTCCCTCATTGGAAACAAGGTTTTTTTTACTTTGATTTCATAGATAACAAACAATAATTTGTAAAGACAATACAGCTCCCACCAAATAGCATTTTAACTGCTGTGTGTGGTATATCCTGGCTTTAAGAGAAGAGTCATCAGGGGCCAAACAGCAATTTTTTACCCCAGGCCCTTTTTACAGGTTGATCCAGCCATTATGACCCTCAGTAAAATTAAAACTCCAGTAAATTGTCATATTTTTCATAATCTTTGTAATTTGTATTCGATTTTTATTATGAGAACAGAGTAGAAATACACCATTTACATCATACTCCTGCACTGTATAGGCTAATCTGTCTTGCATGGATCTCCAGAGGCTCCAACAGCTCCAGTGTTGCAGCAAGTTGGGTCTTGCTTTATCATTTCGATTCAGTACAACTTGATGTATGCCTGTGCGTGCATGTAATGCAGTAGCTCGCCAACACACACAGAAGATTAATTAATCACAAATTATAACAGAATCTAGAGGCCCCGTCATGAAATGCAACTCTGTGTCACAGTTTACTTACCTTTATTGTTTCAGTTTGTGTCATTTGTTGGATATTGCTAAATTTGTGTGTTTAACCAAACCACTCTTATCTAATGCATATGTTATTCATATGGGTTTATAATATTTTCACACACTGGGATAATTGACGGTTTCTTGTGTAATATTGTTTCTCAAATTGTCATGTACGCACATTGACTTACTGATGACAACTTGTATGCATTTATTTTTTAAAGAAAAATCCCACTACTTCCTGTTTCTCTCTGGGTGACTCTGACTACCTTGACGTAACAGTTCATTAATCCAATCGGAGCGGCCCAAAGCTCAACTCTCCCTGTCCCTCAGCCAATAAACAGGGGCGGTCACATGGGAGAGGGAACACTGATTTGTACCCACTGGGGGGAGGCTGGGGGAAGGCTGGGGGGAGGGGGGTAGCCAGGGATTACCCATCACACACAGGCACAGGGGGACATGCATTCAATATCCTGTCCATAGTAAAATGGCGGAATTGCTAGAAACAGAAAACATGATGATTAAGTGATAATTAAGAAAATAATAAAGCTTGTTGAAGTCATGCGCACCACATGGGCTGTTGGTGCTTATGTTGACACTGCCTCCAGCTCATCTCTCTCTTCCACATTGTCTTTATTAATGTCTCTTTCACACATTGAAATTGTATTGCTCCTCTCTTACTCCAGACTTTCAGTGTCAGTTTCTGTTCCCTGACCTTTGATCCCTGTAGTATCTGGTGACACGCACCCATAATGCTCATAGAGGCAAATATACACAGTCGAACTCCCTGAGTAGTTTCCAGTTACAAACCTGCTGCCAAGTAGGCTATTGCTTATTTGTCATACACAAACAACAGACACAACCATGAAACCTGACACTGCCACCCATCTCGGCCATGTGGCATTAAAGGGGAACTCCATTCTGGCAGCGTCATCCTGTGAGCATCCCTTTATATAGTAACTGGCTCCTGGTGGGAGTCACTCACATATTTAAAAGTCATGTTCAATTCATAAGCTCCAGTTTTTTTCCTCCTCTGGAGGGTCAGCGAGGACACCGGGTCGGTAATTCCCAGAGAGAACACCACCTTGGCTTATCCTCGATATTAACTGTCACCACTCGGTGCGTTGAAGTCAGTCGCGGGACAGCTTGTTCATCATCTATTGTGTTGTCATGAGTTGTGCGTCCTCCTTCTGTCACCATGGGTAAGTCAAGGCTTCCATAAAAAGAAAAGGCGGGGGAGTCCACAGTGGAAACACTCAGTGCACGCCAAGACAACCTGCTGGGGTGATCGCTCTGGCCTCTTCTTTGACATTTCATGGAGCGACAGCCAGTTGTTATGGGGCTGCCAGGCACGCACATTTCCTGCCTGGCATTTGTGCTGCTCCCCTCCCTGGGCTGTCTAATTATTTACCCATGGTATGATAATTTACCTCATGACTTATTTCACAAAGCAGGGGAGAGGGACAGAAAACGAAGAGGAAGAAGTGAAGAGGAATGCAAAAAAGCCCCTTAAGTTACATTCCACCACTGCCCATCTTTAGACTTTCCCCAATAAAAGCTTCCCTGAGAAACTGCAGGAATATTTGCTGTTTGTGCTGCAGTTTCAACTGTTTACACAGAGAGCACAGCAGCCTGTATTTGCCTTTGTGCATGAACACTCTGCATCTGTGTGAATATTCATGAACCAACTCAGGGCAGCGGTTATGATCCGCCTCGTGTTGTGTTGCAAATGAGATGAGAGCAGCCATGATGACTAATCCAAAAGCCTTGTCCTGAAACTTCAATGTAGCACCAGTCCACACAAGGTTATCCTCGGCTAGATGGCCCTGCAACAGTATGTCAACAACAGGACCGTAGCCAGGATTTTATAAATACTGAAGGCTCCCAGTGAAACCTCACCTGCCTGAAGAGCTGGGGTCCAGACTGAGGAAAACTAAATTTAGAGGAGGTGCAAGGACATAAGAAGCCAATGCAGAGATGTGATCATACATGAACTTTCAATGAGCAGCACAACTTCAGTGAAAAAAAATTGCACTTCATCTGAGGCTAATTGAGTCCACCTCATAAACATACAGAGAGAAGAGGGATATAATGAGACAGCCTGAAGGAACCTATCTGGATTCATACACCCCTTTTACACCAAAATTACCGTGTGTAGGCAGTTTTTTTTTTCAACATAGGAAAACCTAATAAAATTGGCTATAGACTCCTTTCCCATTGCCAGTAGACCAGAGCTGTGTTCACAGCTCTGCAGCAGCTAAGCATACCTTTCTGTTTTGTTTTTTCACTGGTGTGTCACGTTCAATGTCATGGACAGGCTAGACAACAGGTTAGTAAATAGTAGAAAGCAGCATGTAGGCCTGTGAATCCATTACAATGGTTCTTTTTACACACACACACACACACACACACACATATATATATATATATATATATGTCACTTATTCAGTCTCTCTTTCAAACTTGGTGCAGACAAATTTGGAACCATGGGTACAGCAACAAATACACAGCCCCATGTGTCGCGTATCAAATTACCCGGATGATCAGGGTATTATTGGCGGCCCGTACAGCAAGCGCACTAGAGACTAATGGCAGCCAAGCTAATAGTGAAACAAGTCATTTCCCAGGTTCTGACACTATCAGTATCCACTGATTTACAGGTGTCTCTTTCACAATAAAAGTCAATGGGGAAAAATTTTTTTTGGGCCACAGGACATTGCTTGACAGACCCCAGAAATTGCAGTACCACTGTTTGGCCACTATAAAAATTGGCTTCAAAGCCTGGCAAACTTTCCAGGGGCCTTTTACCAATGTGGTAAAAGGACTAAAATTAGCACCTTCACTCAGGTATTGTACTTACATCGCTGCTGATCGTTGCCGGAGCCGATAAATGCCGATTGTAACCTTTCCCATTACATCCATATGTGGCCCTGCCTTTGAAAGACAAGCGACGGGCTGTTTAAAGTCAGCCCCCAGGTCAGACTTTAGACGTGCCTGAGCTAAGCCCTACGCAGTAGAATGGCTGGTTTGGACAAATGCACTTGAACTGCAAAAACACTCCAGCTGTCAAATTCAGGTGAATGACCTGAGGGAGGCATTTTGCTTCACATATGATCTTAACGACCATAACATTAATGTTCCAAAAGAAGTATATATTCCTGAGGCTCTTGAAGAGTAAACCTGTTTCTTTTTACATTTATACAGTTTCATGCTTTATGTTTTCTTTGCAATTATATATGACATTTATTTGTTTTTATATGATGGATTATAAGTGTTGAATGTTGTCTCTTCATTCTTCATTATTAGCTCACCAAAGTAACTTTCTAACAGCCTTGGTTAAATAACATTAAAGTTATCCCAACTCCATTCAATCATGCTTAAAGCAAATTAAGTTACATAAACTCAAATGTGATTTCAAGATGTCCACGTAATACAGGATTCCCACACATATTCGTGGATAAAATTTTTTCCATTACTTTAAAGGACCCATAATAAAACTTTTCATGACCAATTCAAGCAAATAACACTAATAGAAGTGAATAGTTCTTCCCTTAAAATATTGATTGTATTATTATAGGCGGTCCACAGAAAAGGAGCACTACAGCTTTTGCTCCTCTTGTCCAGTGATATTCAAATGTACAAGATTTAAACAGATAGCTGACATACATGGAGGGAGAAACGGAATGTTGGGAGAAAATTAAGAAACGTTCATGATGGTAGACAAAACATCATGCATTGACGCAACGCAGAGAAGCACTCTGTTACTTCAGCAGCTACAGAAAATAAATTGGCCTACATTGTGTGGAAGGTTATCCATGGAAGATTACTATAACAATTAATGTTATTACACACAACAAAATTCCATGACTTTTCAAAAACTGGAAAAAACTTTCATCATGGATAAAAGGAGGCTGCTGAACTTTTTAGAGGAAGTGAAATTTATGGAGTGTTTTATGAAGTGAAGCATTTGCAGCCAAATCCTTTGTCGTCACGCTTTTGATGCCATCCACTCCTGCTTGAAATGTGAACTGACACATACTGCTGTACACACAGCTCAGCCACATCAATTTAACCATCGTACATGTGAACTCAACACCCAAACCACTGAAGTCAAATGACAGACTGTGTCAGAGGGCAAGAGTTTATTTCCCACAAGATAAATATAGAAAACAAAAGTGCTGCAAAGTCTGCCGAACTTTGAGTAAAAATAAACCCTCCCTGTATTACAATGGACAAAAAACGGATAACATCAGAGGGTGAAGCTGCTCTGTCAGAGGTTGAGGTCAGGCTTCAACCTGTCTGCCCTCTCACTGACACTGAACACTCAAAGATGGAAGCATCAAAACCAGTGAAATCTCTTAACAGCCATCTCAATATGGAGCTATGATCTCAAAAAAACTAAAGAAAAGGAACCTGTTTTCTGTTAACTCACACTGTTGCCACTGTTTACATGGTGTACAAGGCAAATTAGGGGTAGACACTGATACTTGTCAAATGAAAAAAGAAAAAAAAAGATCCAGCATGTACATCCCTGCCCTAAAAAGATGTCTTCTCCTGAAAGTGTTTGGTTTGGGACTGAGACAGGTGGGGGGTGATTATTTTGAGATAGAGAAGCTTCCAAAAATATCTGTGTGAGGTTTCAGTGTTGCTGGGGGAGAGCTTCAAGAGATCAGGCAACTTCACTCCGCAGATTTAAAAAGATAATAAATGTCCCCCTGTGACAGCTCACACTCATCACAGCCAGCGTTGAACTGAAGTTGGCTAAGAACATGAGGGAAACATCTCAGGCTTGTCTGGCAGGAAGAGGAACGCAAAATTCCTCGTTGTGACCAATGTTGAGTTTCAGTTTGCTGCTGTTCAGTTTTTAAAACCACTGTCCTATTCAGGCACTGAGGGGGGGAAGCATCTATGCAAGCACCTGCATCCCAAATAAGGCGTTCAAAGCAAAAAGTCTGAATACAAGTATGAGAAACAATCAACAGCAAATCTAAATAAAAAGAAAATACAACACAAAAAAAATTCCATTTGACGCTGAGAAACAAAAGGTTTGAGGATTGTCCTTCGTTGTATACAGTGTTATAATAATGTCACAAAGCAGTTTTTGCTTGGATGAATCTGATGGAGTGATTAGTGTTACCAACATGTCTGTTTTTAACTTAAAAAATGTCCAATCCCAAAATGTAAAAACTGATATTTTTTCCCCATCAAATTTACATCTCCTTCCTCCCAACAGATCCACCCATTTAAACCATCTGTGACTGACAGAGCCTCAAAAAAACGTAAAAACATGTCGATATATCTTTAACCCACCCTGCACCATATGAGAGTCAGGGATGCCCAGACTCCCTTATAATCAAAACAATAACTGCTTATTAAAACCTTTTCATTGTCTTCATTGTAAATCATACAGTTTGTAAAATGTGTTGTTTTTTTGTACAAAGCATACATCCAAAAGCATGTGATCTGAGAACTGGTGAGCAGAGCCACAGGAGGAGGAGGAGGAGGAGGAGGTGGTGTTAAGGGAGAAAAAAGGAGTGAGAAAAGGAGATGTTAAAGGTAAAATGAGACCCAGTGGGGAATTAGAAAGGAAGATGGAAACGGGAATAGATGGATCGAAATGCGAAGGTGAACCAGACAGAGATCCATGCCTTCTCAGGTGGTTTATTTCTAGCCGGTGTGTGTGTGTATTTATAGAGCAGGGGGATGGTAATCGATAGGCTCATTAAGTCCTCCCGGTAGGAACAGTTCAATAGAAACACACGCAGCTCCTGTCGCGTCATTAAACTTGTCTGCTTCCGCACAGCTGTAAGCGCCGTCACCTCTCCTGGAGGAGCCCTCAGTTCCGCAACTGAGCCAACCTGGAGTGTGTGAAAAAAAGAGGGAGAGTTTTATTGTTCGGTGCTCTTGTGAAATGAGATACAAGCCTTAAAATGGTGCAGTGCTCTGAATTACAGTTCCAAACTGTCATTGTTATAAACTGGGGTAAAACACTCCCTCTAGCTGTCATCAACATCTAATGGCAATCTATATCAAATACTAAAATACATTATACATATGGAGAACTGAATGACGACGACCTTTTTGGCTCCTTGTTGTTTTGTATCTCTCTGTAGTTCCCATGCATCAATTTCATGGTCTTTTTTTTGAGGTCATTTGGGTTTGTTTTCATTTTTTTGTTCATTTTGTCTTTCATAGTCATTATGTGTCTCTTTACCGTTCCTTTGCATTCGTTTTATGGTCATTTTTTGTTGCTTTGTGGTCATTTGAGTATCTTCCTGCTTGGTACATGTTAACTTGAGTGACATTTTGCAGGTGGGTGGTCCCTGACACTTTGTGCCCCTTTGCCTGTGCCTGGTAAGCCCTATTAGGCATCCATCCATGATTATAAATATACTGTAACACAATATAAATATGTCGACTGCCAGAGATTTTACATCACTGTTACATACACAGACATCTCCTCAGTAACTCTAGTTGCATGAGGCTATTGTGGGAAAGGTTGAAAATCCATTGGCAGGACTGATTTATGGCAGTATTGGATTTTTATATTATTTTTGCACCAATGTGATGAAGTACTTTTATTTATCGGGTATTTCATTCACTATTCATGACATTCAGTCTCTCTTTGTGTTAAAGGTTTTGTAACAGATTTATAACAGAGCTAGCCTGAGAAATCTACTAGGCCTGATATATGATGTTAGCTTATCACAAATATATTTGCATCTGCATAAATGCTGGTCCGTAACAAACAAGAAATTGTTGAGCAGAAATGTCAAACATATGTTAGCGGTCAATGTAGATCATTTAGAAATGGTAGTTTGTCCAACAGAGAGCACTGGCAAGATTATTGTTTAACAGTAAAATGTCCTACTCAGCACACATTTGATCACAATTCTTTATAAACCAAATTAATTTCCCTGAGGGAGTCTTCTATACTAAATATATCTGATTTACAAGAAACTTGATGTTTGAGAAATAAGTGCTAAAACCTAATAAACCAAGCAATCACAAATGTTGAGAAAATAGCAGTTACCCTGGAGACAGGGCCGTGCCTCCTGTACTGGGAACTGGTTAAGCAAAAAAAAAAAATAAATGTGAAAATTTTGACTTTTGCACACCTGACCCTGTGGTTCTTTCAAGCAAGATATTGTGGCTTAGAGCTGTGCAAGCTGGACTGTCTAATTTTTCAACAAGTGGCAACCAGAACAGAACAATGTGAGAGATACTCACATCACCATTTTACACATAAGGGCTCAAAAAATGTTCATAAATCTTCAGCAAGTGCAGTTTTCTTGATTTACTTTTACCAACTTAAAGCTTAAAGGGGAACACCGCCTAAATTAAGAATCCAAATATGTTATGTCCATAGCCTAGTGAAGCTTAATTAATATTTGTGAACATGAGCTACTCTCAAAGCCAGAAACATCAAGTAAGTGTCTGTGGAGCAGCTCCAGACTTTCTACATGATAACATCACAAATGTGAGTTTGAGCACACCAGATTTTGGATTGGAGAGAGAGTTGTTCATGTTAACTACTATATTTGGACTGTCTTAGAGCATAGGAAGAACATGTACAAATTTTGAAAATGGGCATAGTTCCCCTTTTAGCTGACAGCCTGCTTCAACGTGAAGCAACATGTTATTCTGTCAGAAATCTGTCAGCAATGAAGTAACAGCAACACCTCTATATTTTAACACCTGCTTACTTTGCATCAGGTCGGCATGCAGGTTGCACAATAAACTTTTTTTGTCCACTGTGCAAATGGCTGGTGAATATTCAAATTTTTGTAGTTATTTTTGGCTGGTGCATGAAGCAAAGCTACAAGCCACCTGCATATTTTACCAGCATTTAGCTAGCAGATGGTGCTAATTTTGTACCCTGCTGGCATGCTGGTCCCTGTCTTGTGTCCTAATTATCTTTACTAGAAATAACTTGTGATTATATGGAAAGACCACTACAATAGCTCAGTAGACAGCGAAGCACTTCACTGATATCAACATCAGTACAATTATTTTAAGCAGCTCTTCTTGGCCTGATAAGATAGAGTCTCTTAACTCTATTTTTGAAACAGAGTCGAGTTGAAAATATCTTTATTGATCAATTAATCTGTTGACTATGTTTTAGCTAATTGCTTGATATCGATATGTTAGACAATTAAATGTGCCCATTACAATTTCTAAGAGCTCACAGAGGAAACTATAAAGGAAGATCAAGTCATGACATCAGTGACAGCATTCAAATATTGCATTGGTACCAGACTTTGGTGCTAGTTTTTGTTATACACCTATATTTCACCTTTGACTGAAAAATCCTTCCACACAATTAAAAAACACACATTATGTGATGCTGACTGATGTTTTTTTTTTTATCTAAATGTGCAAGTTTGTTCTCCTTTTTATTAGTAAAAATGATCAAATCTGTTGAAAACCTGAGAGATTAACTAACAATTAAAGGATTTATTTAACTTTTTTTTGTTAATTTAACTTAAAAATTATTTTTCCAGTAACACTGTCAATCTGCAGATACTCTGAGTCAACCAAAACTTTAATGACCAATTACTACAAACTACAAACTTTTTTATTTAAAGAATATACTGTGCTGTGCTTCTTAAGTTAAGGCTGCAAAGGCCTATTTTTACTGCAATGTTTTTTATGTCAAAACATGACAAACTGCTGTCTACTTCCCCTACCACAGCTCATTTGACTTTTCTCATGACCCTTATCACATTAATACAACATCCTCCTTCTGTCTTCACTCGTGACTTTGCGACCACAACAACAGTGTTCTGTGTGTGGCGGTAGAGTGCTGCGTAATCTAATTTACTCATCTCATGCTCTATTCTAACTGCAAAATTGCCTCTTCATGTGCTAGTTATTAGCTCAGTGCCAGAGAATCAAAAGAATTTACCAGGTGAAGTGTGGGAAGATTAAGTGTCTTGCTTAAGGAAACATGAGCCAGACACACAGATGTTGCCTCTAAGCTGTAACTCAGTAGCTATGGGAGGGAACATTATTGTCTTGTACCAAATATAGATACTGGTCCTTACCGTCGAGACAGCTGGTCCTCCTTGTCCTGGCTCCGTGAGCTCTCTGCGCCCACTGAGCCGGCTCCTGCAGGCAGCTGGCTGAGCTGGTCCATCACCTCCAGGCCATTCTCCTCTGCTATTTGGTGAATCAAGTCATCCACCTGCTCCTGAGGCGTGGTCAGCGTCATTGCCGAACTCATAGAATCCTCCATCACCTGTTGCAGGAACGAGTGTGACGGATCTGAGTTTATTTTTTTTTTACAACTTTAAAAAAGTATAGAATATCTTACCATGCATAGTTTTCAAAAGCAGGGCACCATAACTGTATGAAAATACATAGACAAGAACAAATGCACATAGTCTGCAGCCACTCACTGAGGTGTGGACGTCCAGGTTCTGGACTTGGGTTTCAAACTTATCCATGACTGCAGAGACCTTCTGAAGATCCATGGAGGCCAGAGCTTTGTCCAGAGCTTTGGTCACCTGGCCCATGTTTTTGGTAACCTGATGGAAAAAAATGCCTTTAAATACATTTGTCTCATTCTGGAGAAACAAAAATGATGTGGTAATAAGAAGAAAAGTTGCTCTATAACCATACATTTTGAACATAAAGTAACTTACTGACTTCATGGTGACAGCAGTCTGGACCTTAGAGGCTACTGCGTCCACTCGAGACGCCATACGCAGAAAATTGAGACCTTCATTTTTTTTTCGGATAGCATTCTCTGCATAAACTCTGGCACATTCCACATTTTTCTGTTGCAAAGCCTGGTGATGAGACAAAGACACTGTTAACATAACTGCATCTGCAAGTCACTGTTAGTTTACCTCATTTAGTGCAATCTTGCATGTGTATGTACAAAAACGTTAATATGACAGACGGACAGAAACATTGTACATAAGCTGAGATGTCTTTTTTTTTTTTTTATTACGTTAACACAGGCTGCAACTGATGATGATTTTCATCATGGAGTTATCAAGCATTTTACTTTTATCTAATCTATCAAACCACAAATATGCTACATTTGTATGTTTCATATGTATCATATTGTATAAATAATAAAATTCTTTCCAGTCCATCAACATTTCTCAAGTGATGTAGTATATGAGCTGACTTTGTCATTGGGAGGTGATGTGGATGGTGGATTGCATGACAGTTAGGCAAGATGGATGCCAAGCTTTAGACCACTGTTTGGGTGCAACAGACAGCAAAAGCCAGGATAGTGCCACGAAAAGCGGTCGTTTTTTCATCAAAACATCACCACGTTTTCTGCCGGGATTGTGCCACCAAAATTCGGTCTTTTAAGCCAAAACATGATTTCTTCTACCCATTAACAAGTGGCTTTTGTGCCTAGACCTGACCAAATGTTAACCACAGTATTGAAACATAAAGAAACATGAAGTTTTAACATATTCGCTACATACTAACATACAAACGTAACATATCCACAAATAAATATTAGGGAGGATGCATCGCTGGTGTGACTAAATATGTATGCAATAAACAAAATGATTTATATAACTTACTGATTATGTTGCAGATAGTGCTGCCTAATTAGACCAGGCATTTTAAATCACTTTTTAAATATAGTTTGTAAAGTTCATTTATTCTTGTCTTTGTTTTAGATCATATCACAGTCGTTTCATGTGTGTACCGCATCTTGAAAAGTGTGCCTCACATAAAGTTGGAAATACTAACAATCATAATCTTTATAACAGTAATAAAAACCAACAACAGCAGATTCCTCCCCCTCCATTTTTCAAATCCATGTGAGCTCTAAGACAGGATATGAGAAGTAAAGTGAAGAATTCCTGACCAGTGAGAGGATAAGGGATCATTGTGACTCCGGTTGTTTAATGAAAGAAGTCATACCTCTTCTCTAATCTCCAAACCAAACATGCATTTAAAACAGGAACAGAAATACCTAATGACCCTACAGCAACAGTATTCACCTCTAAAACATAGAAATTAGAAATTAGCCATTCATGATAATAACAACAGTGACATAGCCAAGGCACTCATTGTCAATGCTTACACTCGTACTGCCCCCTGCTGACTGGTGTGTAAACTCTCTGAGTCATTTGACCTGTGGAATGTGCATGAATAATCTACTGATAACAAACTGACAAAGGAGAGTAAAAGGTTATTACATAAGGTGAAAATACAACTGAATATATCAGTAAGTACTACTTTTATTAAAATCTAACTACACTGAACCCAAATCTAATCGCAACACTGTTTTTACTCCCATTTTTCACTTGTTTAAGTTGATCTAAGGCTTTTTTCGCGCACTCCCTTGATATACTTCATATACTACTTTTAATTTTGGTAACAACTTTGTTTTAATCCATTTTGTGAGCACTTCCCTTTTTTAATAATCCATCCACCTACACATCTACAAAATGTCAAACATAGGTTTACTACATTTGATCAACTTATAGGATGTAAAGGAAAAAATAAATGAGAAAAAAATTCTAATTTTTTTAGTCCCTGACTGGATGTTAAGGGAAAGAAAAGGCTTCATATTTGTTTTTACATCCCATTTTAATTATTTACCTCCCTGTATTACCTATTGATGTATTCAGTTGTGATGGGGCTGTAGACACAATGACTTAATGGGTCTGGAAAAATAAGAGCACAAGCCCCAGACAGCCATGCCCGAACGTCATCGTCATCCTTTAGAGGCAGACTGGATGCTTTACATTGTGCACTTGTGCTAAACATGGAGCCATTAGTGAGTAAATACACTTTTAAATACCAATCCCTAATAACAACATTTCCCATCATTTAAATGCTTTGGCCAAATTAAGCTTGGTCTCTTTTAAGATTATTATTTTGGGGGGGATTTTGCCTTTGTTAGAGAGGTCACAACAGAGATAAAGACAGAAAATAATGAAGGGAGCGTGAGAGGAGTATGACGCTACAAAGGCCCCTGTAAATGGAATAGAACATTGTGTGACATTGTGAACACAGAATATGGCATGCATTTCAACCATTCAGCTGCCACAATACCCAGTTTTCTTGGTCTTAAACCTGGGCCAGTTTGCTCACCTTCTTGACCTTGGCTTGCTCCTTTTCTGAATCCTTCTCTGCCCTCTTGGCCATTCTCTCAAGCTGCTTGGCAGTGAACTGTGGACCACAATGAAAGACGTACAAGAAATGAATAATTAATCCCCTTTTATGGGCTATATCAAGCTGATGTGGATTCAATCTTGTCAGAGATACATACATACCTTGAGCTGGAAGAGTGTTTCTGCAAAGACAGTGAGAGGCAGTTAGCGAGTTATGTAGGGTATATAATTTAAACTGTAACAATATTAACTATCCATTATAAACTAAAACACTGGATTTTCATTCTCTGAGATTGATGACTAACTTTTAAAGAGCTGTCTGGTCTACAGCTGTACGATATGCTAAAAAAAATCATATTGCAATTACTTTGACAGACATTGCAAGTGCAATTTCACTTTCACTGAAAAAATGTTAAAGATTTTTGCTAGGGTCTAGACCAAACAAGCCTGTTCCCTTACATCTGGAATATGATTTGTAGGCCAGGGCTTCTCTGTGGCACCAAAGTGTTTCATTTATAATGGAATATTGTGACACACTTTCCTTTATTATTATTTTTTTTTTAAAAATGCAGTTCCTACAATTTGGATATTGCGCTGATAATATTTCCATAAATTGTGCAGCCCTTGTCTAGTCTGTCTTTTCTTTGCTTTAAGATAAGTGCATTTTCAGTGGAAAAACTAGTGTTGTAGAAACTCATTTTATATTTGCAAAATATTTTTTGTGCTTAGAAATCTAGTTTGTATTTGTGGAGGTGTTTTATTTTTACAAATTACACTTTTAACACACGGTTTGTCGATCTGTTCACACAAATAATATTGAAACAAATGTATCCCCATATTTAAGTTAACAACAGTAATGAATGCTTTGAATATCTTGTCAAATGTGTGAATGGGATTTCTTTCCTCTAGGGCCACTTATAATGATATGACTTAGTGGGGGCCTCTGACTGGGCCTCTTTGTTATAAACTGGACAAATGCTGTTTAAAAAAAAAACTGCAAATTGTTGTACCATAAAATAATAAAAGGGGAACATGCTCTCAAACACACAAAAAAATAAATAAATAAATGACAAGAAGAAGTTGCAGTCAACACAAATGTTTCTGAAAGGGCTGTTACTGTTTTCCAGCAATGGGACGACGATAAAACATTACCCACTGCTCATATAGTATCTTAATTCTATAGTTTAATTAAAATGTCACAACAAATATAAACATGCGAGGGGAATAAATACAACATGGACAAAATGCTAACCCACAAATATTGAATCTTTAGGTTATAATTCTTAATGTTTTTGTACAAGAACAAGACGTTTTATCGAAGCTACACTAATCACATTTAGAGGGAGTGTGACATTCCTGACACATCAGTCATTTATTAGGAAAAGATTCAGTGGCAGGCAGCGTTAAGACACCGTGTTAAATTAGACCATAGGCTAAATTATTAGTCAGTCTTGCGATTACATTTGGATTTGATAAACGAATGAACTGAGATAAAGACAGGTTTGACAGCTAGCCTAGCTAACCACCCACCCAAGCTAACAAGCTAATGTTAGCTATGTGTCATTAGATTGGTGGCAGAGCCAAAAAAAATAAAGCCAATTGTTATCAAGATAAAGCGTTCAGCTGTTAAAACACGACATACCATCCATGTCGAGACGATTATGATTCCAGGTGATCACAGGAAAACTAACTATCAGCCCCCCAACAGTCTCGTCTTGGTTTGTTTTGTTATTACGATGGATCAGACACCGCACTTCCTGGTCCAAACTTAGTCACGTGATCTTAATTTCTCTTCTTCTGTTGATGTTTTATGGAGTGGCGCATTACCGCCATGATGTGGCATGAAGTGTGGATAGGGACTCAGAATGTACAGTACTCATTTGCTTGAACACATTTGTCCATTTAGAAGTTACATTTCCAAAACAGTTCACACACAGGCCTATACTGACAGTTGCTGGTCAAAATGACACTCACAAAACATTAAAAATATGCAACTAATGCAAATATTTCCATCAAACAACACAACTTGCGATCAAATAAATACATTCTTTCAGTGAATCATTACATGACGGTACATGCTTAATGTCTGTGTCATGTGTTAATACTTTTCATTGTTACAGTATATGCCAAAAATGCAAGCAAGTATATGACAGCATGAATTAAATCCCCTTTCCAAAGATGATTTTACTGAAGATAACAAACACTGCAGCACTCTGCACGATACTCGGACCCTGCATCTGCCCCTTTGCACTATTGTGACATGCCCTGTTTAAATATTGTAAAAAAAAAATCAAAAAACAAAACAAAGACATTTTTTACGAAACATTTAGTCATTTATTTTGTCATATTCATAAGTATTCATTACTATGAGCCTTTGGCCTCTTTGATCCATGCTTGCAAACAGCAGCACAGAGGTGACAACTTTTATAGATAAGGACTGATTGCTAATTGATGAGTTTCACACAGGTGCATTAGAGATTTATTTCTACGCAATGCAAGTAATTTCGATCAGATGTGAAGAGATGTTTTCTTTGTGTTTACCACAGTTAATACAGGAGAGTTTGGGGTCTTTCTATGAGATCTGCGTTAATTGTTTTAAAAAAAAAGGTGTAAAAACTGCGTGAAACCAATGAAAATGTTCTAAGACATATGTAAGAGACGACCTCTGTTGTGCTAAGAAGGTGATGATGAAGATCAAATGGATCCCAGTTTCTTTTAGTGGGTCTCAGCAATTGGGAAAAACTGTAAAAATTAAATTTAAGGACTTTTCAGAGACTTTCCACGTCTTATTCCCTCAAATTCAAGGACCCAACACAGCATAGTTTGAGACATGCATCAAGGTTAATTATAGTTACACACAGAGAATTTTTATAATAAGAAGTAGGCTTTACAGAAACTCACAAAAATAAATAAATAAATAAATAAAAAGAGTGAACGTGTCTTTAAATGTGTCTTTAAATTTGAATTCACTAAAGTATATTGTTTGGACCATGTTGTAAGTTAATAACATTTATATTAATTCTCTCTCTATTTGCATTAACATAAAGTTGTTGTAGGCTACTATTAGACAAGACTTGTTTTCATAAATGCTAAAGTAATGTTAGCTCACACAAACACATTTTATAGGCCAACCACAAACTCTCCAGGCAAGGTAAAAACAACAAATGGAGCCCATGTCTGGTAACATTAAAATCTAGGCCTTTTACCTGATACTGCAGAGTCTGGTTGGAATAAAGACATTCAATTCAGTTCATTAAGCTTTATTGGCATAACATTTCATATGATGCCAAAGCAAATTTACAATTTCAGACAGTGAATTCAGAGACAGTTAACAACATGTCTTTGTGAGTGCTATGTTGTAGCAGCCTCCTGTCTCCACCTGTCTCTGAGGACAGAGCTGACACAGCTTGTGTCTGCCAGTCTCTGTGACCATCCATTATCTACCTGTACCAGCGCGCGCATTTTCGTTCGAAAGTGGTCTCCACAGTTACAGGCAGCCATCACTACAAACCCCACAGCCATCGGTGCAGGGCCACGACCTGGACCCTTTAAACTGTCAGTTTGTGTCATAGCCAGCATCTCAGACATGTCTTTGCTTACCAAGCTGTTTAGTGGAGGAGAAAAAGTGAAAAAGACGTCCTGCCAACAAGAGGAGACAGAGAACCTTCCAGACAGAGAGGAGCTGCTGATGAAGAAGAGAGACTATCTGAAGAAAAAGATTGAGCAGGAACTTCTGTTTGCCAAGAAAAACTGCAGAAAGAACAGAAAAGGTGAAATATTTTAAAATGTGCTGATAGGTTCTAAATTATCTATATGTCTTGTATAATTCTCACCCATTCAATTAGCCAGGGAAGCTCATAGTGTTAGCCGAAAATCTTCCGTTAGCAAATCAGCTAACTAACTTGAACTGCTAAGGACCTATGCAAGCAAATGAGACCATTTAAGGCTAACCCAAATTTATTAGCACTCATGTAAGAAGTAAATTAGCATGTATTATATGAATGCCATTCAGTGTAGTCTACTAGACATATTGTTATTGAATTGAAATCACATTAATACATCAATGCAAGACATTTCACCAGTGTTGGGGAAGCTAACGTTACTTTGAAAGTATAGCCTTGCAAGCTAACGATTAATACACTTCAGGCTGGAAGAAGTTGAACTACAGGAGAAATCTGAGTTGGTTAAGTGAAGCTACTTGCTAAAAGTAGCGCAAATTACTTTGTAAAAAAAATGATCATTTTGAGAATGTAAATGTGATATGAAATTATAACAAAATACAATACAAAAAATCCACATGCTAGCAAAAAAGTGCCCTCTTGTTCACTAGGGGTGTAACATTATGATACACTGATCTTAAGTGACATATCAATTCAGTGATTCAACAATCTAATATTATCTACAGTACAGGCCAAAAGTTTGGACACACCTTCTCATTCAATGCGTTTTCTTTATTTTCATGACTATTTACATTGTAGATTCTCACTGAAGGCATCAAAACTATGAATGAACACATGTGGAGTTATGTACTTAACACCCTTTGCTCTGATTACTGCTTTGCACACTCTTGGCATTCTCTCCATGAGCTTCAAGAGGTAGTCACCTGAAATGGTTTCCACTTCACAGGTGTGCCTTATCAGGGTTAATTAGTGGAATTTCTTGCTTTATCAATGGGGTTGGGACCATCAGTTGTGTTGTGCAGAAGTCAGGTTAATACACAGCCGACAGCCCTATTGGACAACTGTTAAAATTCATATTATGGCAAGAACCAATCAGCTAACTAAAGAAAAACGAGTGGCCATCATTACTTTAAGAAATGAAGGTCAGTCAGTCCGGAAAATTGCAAAAACTTTAAATGTGTCCCCAAGTGGAGTCGCAAAAACCATCAAGCGCTACAACGAAACTGGCACACATGAGGACCGACCCAGGAAAGGAAGACCAAGAGTCACCTCTGCTTCTGAGGATAAGTTCATCCGAGTCACCAGCCTCAGAAATCGCAAGTTAACAGCAGCTCAGATCAGAGACCAGATGAATGCCACACAGAGTTCTAGCAGCAGACCCATCTCTAGAACAACTGTTAAGAGGAGACTGTGCGAATCAGGCCTTCATGGTCAAATAGCTGCTAGGAAACCACTGCTAAGGAGAGGCAACAAGCAGAAGAGATTTGTTTGGGCCAAGAAACACAAGGAATGGACATTAGACCAGTGGAAATCTGTGCTTTGGTCTGATGAGTCCAAATTTGAGATCTTTGGTTCCAACTGCCGTGTCTTTGTGAGACGCAGAAAAGGTGAACGGATGGATTCCACATGCCTGGTTCCCACTGTGAAGCATGGAGGAGGAGGTGTGATGGTGTGGGGGTGTTTTGCTGGTGACACTGTTGGGGATTTATTCAAAATTGAAGGCACACTGAACCAGCATGACTACCACAGCATCCTGCAGCGACATGCCATCCCATCCGGTTTGCGTTTAGTTGGACCATCATTTATTTTTCAACAGGACAATGACCCCAAACACACCTCCAGGCTGTGTAAGGGCTATTTGACCAAGAAGGAGAGTGATGGAGTGCTGCGGCAGATGACCTGGCCTCCACAGTCACCGGACCTGAACCCAATCGAGATGGTTTGGGGTGAGCTGGACCGCAGAGTGAAGGCAAAGGGGCCAACAAGTGCTAAACACCTCTGGGAACGCCTTCAAGACTGTTGGAAAACCATTTCAGGTGACTACCTCTTGAAGCTCATCGAGAGAATGCCAAGAGTGTGCAAAGCAGTAATCAGAGCAAAGGGTGGCTATTTTGAAGAAACTAGAATATAAAACATGTTTTCAGTTATTTCACCTTTTTTTGTTAAGTACATAACTCCACATGTGTTCATTCATAGTTTTGATGCCTTCAGTGAGAATCTACAATGTAAATAGTCATGAAAATAAAGAAAACGCATTGAATGAGAAGGTGTGTTCAAACTTTTGGCCTGTACTGTATGCAAAGTGAAAACATCGATTTGTCATTTTAAATTCCCATGGTAGTCTTTGTGTGTTGAATCAAATAGAAATCAGAGACTTTTTGATATCAACAAATATCCTATCTTTGTCCAAATTATTACACCCCTATTGTTCACAGGTCATAAACAAAAAAAAAAAATAATAAAATTCCCAGCTGTTCATGGAAAGTGCAGGAATGTCAGCTTTGGGTTGTATTTAATATCTATTAGTCAGACACCTGCCTTCAAGAAACCACAGTCCAGGTGGGGGGTTAAGTTAGCCAGGTCACTTCTAAAACAACATGCACCAACTTCTCTTTGAAAGGGGTTTCAATTACTGTAGAGAAGCAATGATAAAATAAAAAAAGCATTCCTTTGCTTTTATGGCTCAAAAAGTATTGCAGTTTCAGAACTCAACCACACAAGAAAATGGCAAAAAAAAGAAGTTAACTACTGGAATCACTATGCAAATATGAATGTAATTGAACTACCAGCGAGCTACTGCAGAATGTAGTTTAACTTCCAGTTTATTTCCATGTATTACACCACTTCCCAACACTGATTTTGACATGTCGCTGGAGGAACAGGTGTGGGTAACGTTAATTACAATATCATGATATAGTACACTTGTTTACTAATTTACATAGTTTGTTAAAGTTTATTAAAGGGAGAGATACCACAGTGCAGATTGTATGACACAATGTCTGACCTTTGACAAATGCACAAGTGTTGAATCCAGTTTATTGCCAAGTAGGTTTTCAGGTACATAAATTTTGCTGTGGTGTATTGATGCATAACACAAACAAAGTGAGAGAAAATAAAATGAAAACAAGAAAACAATATTAAAGAAATATGTACAATAGATTTGGTCCCAAAGATGTGCATTAATGTAACACATATAGATGGACAGATGTGAAGACATTCATGTAAATACTGTATAATATTTTATCTTTCATGATATGGCTTACTGGGATTATAAATGAAACTGAGACATATTTAATTCATAATTAGTTACATATCTGCAATTTTTCTGTTGTGATAAGTTAAAATGTCTGCTGTGAAAAAGGTCTAAAGTCAAAGTCTGGTAATGAGGACTATTGTATTTTAATACTGTATTACGCTATAGTGACAGAAACAGGTGTGTCTGTATTTTAGAAAATCATGTGCTGAGGAAGAAACCTGCATGCTTCCTGCATTTTCACACATCCCTCACAGAAAACGTATACAGTAACAATTAAAGCTGCCTTTCAGATAACATTTCTCAACAGTTACTGTGTGATGACTGCGATGTTGCTGTTTAATCTGCAAATTCCCATGATTCTGTTTTTCTTTTTACTTGTTGAGAGCATTCCTACTCATATCTCGCTGTGCTCTCCTCACAGTGGCTCTGCAGGCACTGAGAAGAAAGAAGTGGTACGAGAAACATCTGAAGGACATCGACTGCACTGTTCAGGCCATGAGGTCCACTCATAAACACACGTAAGGGAAAAGACATCAGCGTAAATGGTCGTTTAAATTATGACATGTATGGATATCTGTAAGAAATGGAGCAGGATGAAAAGAAGAACTCGTAAAATGTTAGTTATTGTAGATAATAGGTAAGATTTTGGATACAGTTTATAAGGATACTGAAGCGAAGTGAACGTATGTGATGTTATGTTTTTTACATTTGATTTGAGTTTGGATCCAGCTCATAGCAAATGTTATAATGTCCTCTTTATGTGTAAAGCCTAATAAAGTTTTAAAGAAGGGTTTAACTGAGACAGGAACTTTCTGCTGGCTGTTTCAGACATTTTGTCAACGAGGTGAATGACCTGATCAAAGACATTACAGAGGAGCAAGATCTGATTGAAGACATGTCAGACGCCTTCCACACATCTGTGATATTAGGAGTGGAATTTGATGAGGTACAATGACAGTATTTCCTCAAGAGATTTTATTTTAGTGTAGCTTTTTTTATTTCAGGCGTGGACTTTGTTTATTTAAACTGAATAGAATTTTTGTATTTTTTTGTATTTACACGTAATTCTGATAAATATCATTTACCATATCACAATAAATCGCTCATGCAGTCAGCCAAAGATGTGGTGATATAAGCCAGTTGCTTTGTGTGTGGTTTGCTCAGGATGAGCTGCTGGTAGAGCTGGAGAGTCTGGAGAACAATCTGGATGAGAGTCTCTTTGAGAAAGACAGAATGGAGGAGAAAGACTTTTGTCCCAAAGTGTCACCCATTGCATCACCTTCTCAACCTGGTAAGAACCATTTTAGGAGCAGATGCAGAAACATAGTTAGTTAGCTTTGTTGGTAAAGCAGAAGACTTGTCACACCATAGTGCTCATTTGTGTGGTAGTGCTAACGTGGTAGTGGGCAACTTCACATGTTAGCTTCCTTAATAATAGTTGGAAAACTGATGATAACTGCTAAAATACCATGGTATAACACATTGGTGCAGTTGGCTGCACCAACTACTAATTGATGCAAATTGCTCAGAGTCTTTGTCTTTTCTTTCCCAAAGCCAAGACGGAGGAAGATGAGATTGAAGATGATTTAGAGTACCTGCGGCGCTGGGCGAATGGACCCTTACAGCCACACCATCAACCACAACACACGGGTATTAAAACCTAAAAAGGAAAGGACGGAATAAATAAGTTGAAATGATATGTTATTGTTCATGAGTGTTCGATGTTTATGTGGGTATTTGTCTTCTCTACAGCAAAGTATCAGTGAAAAAGAGTAGCTTGAAGAGTCAGTAAAAGTATTTCATGTAGTGCACAGGGTCTTTATAGAGTGATGCAGGGATGACATTTATTTGTAAGCCAACACGAAAGCCCTGGTTCCGTCGTCAAGTGGCCAATGGGATTTCACCATTCTTTCTTCTGTGGCAAACAAACGTTTATGATACCATAATCTTCACAAATGAAAACCACTTTATGATTTTAAAGCATAAATGCAATCACCAGAAGTAAAAAGCTAACATTAGGCTATAAATGAAAAACACTACGGACACATGACTTCAGCATCGCCACCACAACAAAGGCTACAAAGCCGTATTCGGCATTTTGACGTCCTATGTAGCAACTGTCTCTTTACAACACCTAAAAGCTTCGAAATTTACAAGTGGGATTTTTACTGAAATATTTTATGTTGTAGAAAAAAAATGTGAAAATGTGTTGTGATCACCAAAGACCTTATTTCAGGAGTCTAACCAAAAACCCACTGACTTCAAGGTGAAGGAAGCAGGAGTGCTAAAATGCTAACTAATTTCTGGGTTTTAGGACTCATTCCTGCAGCATTCCATTATAGAAACTACAATTTTTGTTGTTGTAAGGTATTATGAGCTCTGTAACTATATGTACTATAATTAGGGCATTGTTTACAATACTAAATGACTAAATGACTTCAATCTTGAGCTGTCCCCTTCCCCTCAAACTCCCAGCATTGTTCCCGCTACTCTTGCCTGCTTTAAAAGCCTCCTCACCAGTGTCTCTTGTTATTTGGTGAATTACTAAAAAAAAAGGTTTTTTTTATAAATATATATGATCTTTGCTGTAGCAGAGAGGTTCTCTGAAGACATTGTGAAACACAGTGTGGCCTTTCTCTGTTGGCTGTCCAGGTCTTTCTTAGAGTTTTCTTCAGAGTTTTTGTTTCAAATTGCTGAATGTTATAAAAATAAACATTGATATAACACCTTAATAATGGCCTCCAGCAGGAGACAGTGATTTGTACTCATAGGATTTCAATCAACATGAGTGTTTTAATTATTAATTGATTATTATTATCCATTACACACAGACTACTTGAGTAGTAATGAAAATAATTTGATCCCTGAACATGTACATGTAGCCTAAAGGTTTATGTTGGCTTTTGGTTTTGCAACGCCTCACAGACAGCCTGTCACTCAAGCAGTACCGCTCCTAAATATGCGTTACTTTGTAAATATTTGTTAATGGGTAGGTTAAAAAAATAAAAAATCCTCCCATGTGCAGTTGTCATGAACGCTGAAATTAACTATAAAGATTAAAACAGTTTCATGTACCAGGCTGTAAACATGTTTATTTCTGCTGTAAAGTTGGGCATCCATGGGGACTGACTCTGTTTTGGTGCCAAAATGCAGTTTTTGGCACTTCGGCATTGGCTTTATTTTTCAGTCCTGGAGGTTGCTGCTTTGTCCCAACTGACTCGCTCTCCCGCAGTAAAAAAAAGCAATATAATAAGTATAATTAATTGTAAACCCCCTGGCATGTGGCGATCCCTCAACTGCCATCTGGTAGCAATAAATACAGCAATTTGTTTTCTTCATAATAAGACAAGTTTACTTCACTTATCCCTATTTGCCCTTTAAGTCCAGCGTCTCACTTCTGCTGTGAGCAACTGCGCAGGATTAGAGTCTGTCACCCAGACAGAGTGAGTGACGGAGACAGGGAGGGAGTGGCAGAGACGGGGAGAGGACTGCTGGTTAAGCAGTAGCCTCAGACACAGCACAGGCTCCTAATGTGCTGTAGCATAGGCTGGTTAAAATGTGAGCGCTATGTATGTGGGCATGTAAGGACTGTACAACAGCTGACTGAAGCCAAATGGGGTCAGGAGCAAGCCAGAAGGAATATACAGGTAGGGATGAAACACACTTAAAGTGCAGGGTAGGCTTTTCTGTATATGGACTGTAGATGGGAATACTGACCGACCACCCTGATAACTTATGAAGTTTGTATTACTTTTTGCTATCAGCAATAGAGAAAATACTAAATTCATTAAGAAGGCAGCTATCCCAGTCCAGAGCTATGAGCTATCCCAGTCCAGGTTTACAAGCATTAGAATATGGCTTTACAATCCTAACATCAAGGTAATTCATTTAACATCTATCATTAGTACAGATGGTAGATAAGATGTTTCCTGTGAGACGAAGGTGCAGATGACCACATCTCTTTGTTATTGTGATAATAATGCTGATTAGTAACAACCATGCCAACAAAGCAGCTATGGAATTATCAGCCCACCAAGCCCTCTTTATGATGATGTTTACAGTTCGTACGATGCTTCAGCTCCATCATCCACCAAGGTACAACTGTTTCCAGCACCGTATTAATGTTCGGTGCCTTGTCCTCAAAGCAGTTGTATATATTAAGATACCTCATCATGGCTGATCATTGTTCACAATAATAAACGCCATTACGCTGATATGATGTAGACACAGCTCTAACGCTCTTAAGAAATTAGCACAATCCAATTTAAAAGGTGTTGTTGCTCTTCATACCAAACAAACACTGTGACCACATACCTACGCACACACACACACACACACACACACACACACACACACACACACATGCACACTGCTGGAAATCCTCCAGTCAGCAGGTTTACCTCATCTGACCTGCAGGCCTATGACAGTCCAGTGTTTCTCTTATATCTGTGAGGACTATATTTAGTAGACAAGAATTAAAATAGAGGCCGGAGAAGATGGGGTGTAAGTAAAGAGCACCTTTAATGAGTTTAATGGGTACATTCACCTTTACTGTAAACATGTCCCAAATCAAGGATGCTGTTTGAGTAGGTAAAAATAGCCAGTCAGTGTCAATCTTCCACCTCTCAGTTACAGAGAGCCCCCCATCGTCACAGTCCAACAATGAGTCTGAATCAGCCAACTGTACTCCTCAACCGCCTGCCATCATCGTCACAGCTCCATCACGGGAAGACATCCACGCCTCGCCATCCACCATTACTATAGCTGATGCCGTCAAAGAGAGGAGGCCTTCTTCTGCACCCTTTGTAGTGGGGAAGAAAGTAGAGACCAGACAGTGACTCAGCATGTCCTGCCACAGAAGGTAAAATAGGAATCAAACTTTGGTGAACTCAGAGAGGGGAGCAAAAACTCTGAAACTACAGTTTACTGCATAAATAGTAGTAGTAGTTTACTACTGTAGCCTATAAACAGTAGTGTAAGAAGTATTAAAATCCTTTACCAAAGTAAAAGTTGGAAAGTACAGCAGAATTAGCAGTACATTTACACAACAAAATGTCCTTACTGCAAATAATCCCTCTTCAGAGTGTCATATTATTATGTACATATTAAATTATTCTTATTTATTCAATCAGTGTGAACACCTTCTAATGCTGCACCTTGTTGAGGTTTTCATGACTGTATGCACTTCTTTGCAACCTTTTCACTTACTGGTACCACCCAAGGTGGCAAATTCTAGTATGGTGTTTAGAAAAAAGTCTTTATCTCAAGATCATGTTTCAACATGATAACCTTTCCCAAGTGGCAGCTTAGTCACAGGTGTCAACCTTCAGTGACACCAACTGTTTATCCAAAGAAATCTTGGCCACTTTATTTGGACAGAACATGTTATACAGAGAACAAAATGAGAGTATCTTGAGAGTATTAGGTTTGTTCGTCATCATTGTCATCATTAGCATCATAATCAACCAGTTTCACAACAACTTCTGTGCACTTTAATTTGTTGGTAAGGCAGGGGCAGTCTGGAAGGATGTAGGCCATCAGTTCCAGGAGGGCCAGTGGTGCTGGGGTCCTCCACTCAAGTTAAAAATCAGCATACCTGTAAGAACAAGTGAAAGATATTTATCGTCCAATTTAGTGAGGTGCCAAAATGTCTAGAAATGACCTATATATATTATACCATTTTATTACTAGAGCAAGATAATGAACATTTATTTATTTATTGCATTTATAATAAGTATACCTTTGTTATCAGTTGCCAGGCTTAACCATGACTTCATCAGTCCACAGTCTTGATTTTAAGTACTCAACAAACATGCAACACTATGTTCAGCACAAAACCAATCTCTCAAAAAGTCTTGCCATCACCTTTCAGTTTTTGAACAAGGCTCATTCCATCGATGATGCATGTCAAGAGTTCTCTACTATCTTCAACTGCTGATGCTGATTTCTCAAACTCTCTCGAAAGAGCGGCCTTGTTAGTCGTCCATTATGAGCCTCTGGATTTGAGGGTGCCCAAAGCAGCGGACCAACTGGATGAGTCAGGACATCTTTAAGGATTTTAACTTTGCAAAGCAATGCCCAAGGAGATCTCTATCTGCTTTTAATACCATCACCTTGTTTTGTGCTTACTTTACACATCATTTTTCGTGATGCTTGAGAATGTCCTCAGATACTGTTTTCTTATTTTGTCATAGAACTTGGATGTTTGTGACTCTTTCTCCAAACGTTAACTTCTAAACCTCGGATATGCTTCCTCTAGGGTCTGTTGGGCTTGCAACAGATCGCTGGCTATGTCTGATGACACAGACTGATGATGTCAGGCTGATCTGGACCTGGAGGGTTCAACCAGCTTTTCTCCATAAGCTCTGCAAAGGCATTTACATTTGCCCTATGCTTCTCTATCCTGGTCTCCTGTAGATCTTGATGTCTGAAACAATCTGAAGACCCATTGCCTGTCATGCCCCTGAGTTGCTTCAGATACTGACTTCTGTTTTCTTAAGTGAGATAACATCTGGTGAACGCTGCAGTTTTCAGACTGAAACCCTTGGTTCCTCCACCAGTCTGGGTATCCTTGTTTACAGTCTCCTCAATTGTCTGGTCCACTGGAGTCATACCAGTGGAATTGTTCCTGCCCAGCTGGACAGAAAACCACCATTTACAAAGTGTGCATGAACACCAGGATGATCAACCTCCAGGCAATACTTCCGAGCATAGTAGTGTGTCAGGTATCTGGTCTAGTTGATCTTATCATAAGCAAAACACATTGAATGATGGTACTAATCACTGCAAGATACATGAATAATTAAAATATGTATCCCTGTGTTTTTGTTACCTTGGAATGAACCCTTTATATCTACAGAGGGAGCAGATCCTCTTTCACAGGGCCCGTTATTTTGCACCGCTACGTTTCTACAGTAGCTCAGAACAGACAAGCATGTGTAATTTTATGTGTGAGGCAAACTTATGCATTGCAAATATTGGTACCTACAATCTTACAGTAGACTGCACACAAACCTACTGTGCAGTTACTGTAGGACAGTAGTGGCAAAAACAATGAGTGTCCCCAAAAAAATTGTTGTTCATTTGAAATGGTTATCATATTTAAAGGTACTTGTATGGACCCTACAAAAAAAATGGTACTTTAGAGATTTTGCAACCTCAGATGATACCAAATTCTGGCCTGGCCCATGGACCATCAGCCTGGAAAAACAGTTGTATAATGTCTTCTGTGGCTCTGGAGTAACAATTGTCCCATCTGACATAGGACATAGGCAGTAATTATAATGTATATTGAAGGACATTTTTGCAGAAGCGCTCTGAACTCCTTGTGTTGAAAAAACTTAAACTCAAAGCGGAAAAAACGCCCTACGTCATCTCTTTTTTCGTCATCTTTTTTTCCCATTGTCCAATTGGATGATTTGAGAGGCGGCGGGTCTTCTGGTGGTACTCTCTGTGATCCACCCTCTTTTTTAGGGTCTCATGAACTCACACTGACTGCTGTTCTCCTGTGCCCAGTAAACTATTTGCTGACAGCCTCTCACCCTCAATCACAGCTAGAGCTAGTACCCTCTGCCTGTCCATTTTAATAACGAGATACTTAAAACTGTAAAATAACTAAACTAAATAAGTAAATGGTACATTGATTACATGGGAGGGTTAGAATAAGGAGGTGAGTCCATGGTTGCCTGGCAACAATAAAAAGGTGCAGCAAGCGTTTTGTTTTTACTAGTGGCATTCAATTAAAAAAAAAGGGCATGGTGTTTTGCAACCTTCAAAACGCTTTCTGTGTGAATGTCAAAAAAAGTACTAGTACTAGTACTACTACTATACTAGTATAGTATGTCATAAATATGTGCACTCTTCTTAGTGGCCTTCAATGATTTGCTGGCTCTCTAAAATGGCACTTGGTCATCATAACTTTTAGCACCCCAATCTAAGATTTTCTGTTTCAAAAATGCTTTAGAATGGTCAGTTTATAGCTGTTAAAGTCTATCCTGGGGGGGTTTGGTCACAGAAGGTGACCCCAACATAAAATAGGTGATTATGGCCCTGCTGTAGGAAAAAAATAACCCTGATGATGTCATCAACGCTAAGAGTTGGTAAGTTGGGGGTGGAGAAATGTGGGCTTTTAGATGGCAGGGTCTAATGAAATGATACATATGTTGGTTACTGGAAGAATCTTGTCTTTTACCAGGGACTTCTGACTTACTGCTTTAAGTTTGACCATTCTTTAAAAATCTGTCTTTATGGAAGTGCATTAACATTACTAACTTGCTGGCCCTTTAAGCACATTTCTACTTTTAGTGCTACTGCAACTACATCCATTCTTAAGCCTAATATTTGCTCACTCTGTACTTCAGTTACAGCCATGTATGCCATGCTGTTTTTGAGAGGACTAGTGTGACTGCATCTGTGGCTCAATCCTTATCAAGTAGAAAGGCTAGAGTTGTAATTTCTGTATTTTTACTTTATTACAGTCTTCGAAGAAAGACTCAAACTGGACTTCTCCAACACCACCCGGCGGCAGAACCGCAGAGACAACGTGTTTCCGTGCGGTATCCCCGCCTGTTCAAACTCCGGGAAAGCACCCAGTTGTCCCGTTGGTGGCCCAAACCAAAACACTATGGCGGCGTCCAACTGAGTGAGCTGCGGCCTGACGAGCTACAGACACAGCGGACGACACTCCTGTCTTCAGAGGTTAAAAACGACTCTTAAATTAAAGTATGGACGCCGTTGGAGAAGACGAACCGGACCCCATAAAGCTCAAGTCTATCAAGAACAACAAAACATTCACAGTGCCTCAAAATGACAGGGTAAGAACATTAGGTCCGTGTAGGGGTGAAGCGACGCCAAACTCCGTCCAGGACTTTGATAGTTTAATAATCCTCTGCATGTTAGCAACAATACATAACTCACAGGTTACAAATTAACACTTGTCACAATACTAGATGGCCCAGTCTAAAATTCGGCATGCATCTGATACAGGCAATATTAATTATAATGGGAACATTTCACTATGTGGATGTCTTAAACTCAATAACGTTAACGTTAATCATAATCCACATAACGCTACAAAACTGTAGCACTAATGCTGAAAGCAAGCAAAACATTATGCACCACTTCCTGTACGAGTTGAAAATTCATCGATACGATTGAGTTTAAAAGGTATCAGCTCTAAGGAAATCTTTTATTAAGCAACGTGGTCGCCGGTGTTGAGAAAAAGCAAGGTGGTAATTAAAACTGTAGAATTGTAAATGATGTTTGGCGTCTCTCCATCAGAGGGAATACGACGGTTGTTTTAGTTATGAACTAACCTTACCTGAGCCCATGAGTGCAGTGCACACTGCGGTAAAGTAATTAGTTAGCCAGGCGCTTTTATGAGTAACTGAACGGTAAGGGTGAAATTAAGGTCTGTGTACACTTCACTACTTCAGTCATTGTCTCCAGCAGCACCAATCTCATTACTGGCTTCCATCAACACATAAGCCTGCACGTTAAAGCACCCAAATCTCTACGTCATTTTGTGATTCCCTGGTGAATCTCCAGGGTGCCTTTTTTTAGGACTAAGTAAACTACAGTGGAATCGCAATTACAACCTTTTGACACTAGCTGTCCCAGATTGGTTATCTAATGAGCATTGGCCTTAAGTTATTTTTCCATTTAGGTAATGGTAAATTCCTCTCAGATCCAACTCTTCTTAGAGGCTCAAGGCACCTGTTTACTTTGATAATCACCAGTAAAACCCTTATTGATGTCTTGTTGTTCAGCATTGCATTTCAGTTTCACAATATGTTCATTTAAGTAGTTCTGAATACATAAAACATGTTACATGGAGCCATACAGAGAAATAGTGAAACTGTCAGTGTCTGTTCATTTATTCTTTACGTGTATCCTGTCCATAATGTTGCATTGAAAATCAACTCTCTCTGTCTGAGACAAGCATGATGATGAAGTTCACCCAAGTGTAGATAGCCTCTTTACCATTTCTTTGTCTCTTGACTTCTTTTCAGTTTGGGAGCTGCAGAAGTGTCAGAGAGTTTGAGAAACTCAACCGCATAGGAGAAGGAACATACGGCATTGTGTGTAAGTCATTAATATTGGAGACTGTGGATTTGTTTGACTAGGAAATTTAAAAATACCAGGTCATTTAAACTGCTCAGTCAATAAACTGTTTTCTGTTCTTAATATAGACCGAGCGCGAGACACAAAGTCAGATGAAATTGTAGCATTAAAGAAAGTCCGGATGGACAAAGAGAAAGATGGTAAGAGCTCTTCTTTAATGCTGATTCATGTGTATGAGTATTTTGAATCCAGTAGTTTTGTATGGACAAATTCTCCACTGTTTGGCATTTCGCCTTGCTGTGTTTGTGTTTTTTTCGGCACTGTGTTTCTTGGATGCTTTTTGCTTACGATCAGGCACCAGGTTGCCACCTTTTTATGAAGCACCAACCTCACCTGAGCACTGTGTGGATACACACTCATAAATGTCCTGAACACATAGATAAGAGGAAAATACAGACACATGGCAGGCTATTTGCAGATAGATACCCTGACATATACTTCTGTTGGGTTATAAGTGATGACTGAAAGGGATTACTTCTATACATTTTTTAGGAAAATCCTGCATAGTATACCTTTAACACTTTGTTATGTCTTGTATACATGCGGAAATTTTGGCTTGATGGTGATGCGTAAAGGAGTTGAATAGTTATTGAGATATATCTCTCTTGATCTTGAACACATTGTTGGACATACCAGCTAACCAATATTGTCATCCTTCAGTCCCACCCTGGGCTCTCCAAAGTTTATGTTACAGTCAAGGTCAATGTGACCTCACAGTTGTCTTGTTTGCAGGAACACAATATCCCAGCAATGCTTCAAGGAAATTTCTTAAAATTTGGCACAAATGTCCAGTTGGGCTCGATGATGAACTGATTCGATTTTGCTGGTCAAAGGTCAAGGTCACAATGACCTCACAAAAGACATTTTTGGCCATGATTATGGCTAATTATGACAAAATTTACTAAAAATGTCCAATAAGATAAAATGATGAAGTGATGGCATTATATATCCAATAAGGTCAAAGGTCAACTTGTGACATCATGATGTTCTGCAAAAGCACTTCTGGCCATTACTCAACATCATAACTCAGGAACAGAGGGGGAGACATTTGGTCAGATACTGAATTGGTGACAGTAATCTTGCGTGTCCACCTTGAAACCCTACTTGTTGTACAGATCTTCTGAGCTGCCAAGGAGAAAATGTGTGTGGCTACATCTATATTTGAAACATTATCTACTTTTATGGCTACATATGAGTTTGGACAGACATGGATGTAACCTGTAATGTGACTGTTTAGCAGAGGCATTCAGTCGTGAGGTGGAAATTCTAGTTCTTGTTAAAATGGCCTGTAAAAGTTCTTGAACCTGCTGCTCTTTCTCAGGGATCCCCATCAGTAGCCTCAGAGAGATCACTCTGCTGCTGAGGCTGAGACATCCCAACATAGTGGAACTGAAAGAAGTGGTTGTTGGCAGCCAGCTAGAGAGGTAGTACACACACACACACACACACATATATATTAGGGGATTCACAAGCAATAAAAGAGAATATTCTACAGCGACATTTAAAATTGCACATGTCTCTGTGTGCAGTGTAACTGTTCATAATCTGTCATGTTAGCCCAGCTGGTTTTGTAACCTTAGTCACCATAACCTGTTTTACATTTGTATGTTAACTTAGCACTTAATCATCTTATATTGTGTAATTCTGTGTGTGTCTTGTTCAGCCTGTTTCTGGTGATGAGTTACTGTGAACAGGATCTGGCCAGTCTGCTGGAAAACATGCAGACACCGTTTTCTGAGGCTCAGGTAGGACACTGATTTGTTCTTGGGTTGAATGTTTAGCAAAATTTGGTGGACTTCATTTGTCTTCAAATGAATAAAATGTGTTGAAAGCTTTTTTATGAGGGTCCATTGTAATCCCCTTAAGGCCCCCTGATTGTAAACATCCTTTTGACAGTACTTAATTAGTTTGGTTTGCATGACTCTTTGATTGCTGGGTCAGGTTGTGTTGTCTGCATCATAACATTTTTTTTTCTGCTGTCCTCTTTCAGGTAAAGTGTATTGTCCTTCAGCTGCTCAGAGGCTTGGAGTATCTCCACCACAACTTCATTATACACAGGTCAGTCTCAGACATTTATTGGAAACCCAACACTTAAATCTGCAGTTTCTCTGTACTCAGTATACTCAGGAAAAACAAGTTTTAAAAAGCTGTGACAACCACTTTCTATTTACCTTTTTCTTAGAGAGTTCCATACCAGTATCTGAAGTAAGAACAGGGGCCTTGCAGTAACATAACACATCTAAATGAATTTGTGTAAAAAATAGCATCCTGAATCCCCTCAGATTTCATCCTAATATAGTTCAGATTTAATGAAAATGTACTGTCAGCAATGTTTAATCAGTTTATCTGTGGCCCCACAGTTAAAATACGCAAAGTACTGATGGCATATTTCAGGTGGGGATCAGTAATCAAAGAGCTGCTGTTTTCAATGACATCCACTTAATGCCTTAATACAGGCAGCAATACAGCACGAGTGCAGCCACAATATCTTAACCCTTTTTCTTGCCTCAAAAACTTGAAGACGGCGCTTCCTGTTGTGGCCTCTTCTCTGGTGGCTATTCAAAGTTGTTCAGGGAAAGGCAGTAAATTTGTTATTGATGTAGAAGGCAAACAAAGTCACATACTTTATTACGTTATGACCCAACATAAGGAAACTGGCCAGCCATATCTCTAGAGTTGTTTATCTTGTTTATGTTCCACATGCTTTTGTCTGTTCAGTCCTCTTTTTCTTATTCTGCTTTGTGTCATTAAGCCAGGCAGTTGGATTAGTTAAGTTATGTCAAGCTACGGTCACACTTGGAGTCACAATGGAGCTAAGGAGAGGTTTGTTGAGTTCAGAAAGAGATGTATAGAGATATATGAAGGTCTGATATTCTGGAAAAAGGCTAATGGAAATTGAACAGCAGGTTAGCAGTTGATGGTGCAGGAATCTGTGAGTTTAGTTAAGGAAAGCTGATCTCTGTTTCCTTTTGCAATTAGAAAAAATGTACTTAAGATTATAAACGAAGGTATGCCTCAATTGTAGAATATTTGCAAATAAGAAAAAAGAGTGAAAATCCAATTAAGAAAATCTCCAGCATCTGTGTTCATGTTACTTAAGGCAACATTCAATCGTTAACAGATTAAATTCAGTCACATTTTACTGCTAAGACCTTCAGTAGGAGAGTTTCCTAGAAACAGCAGCCACGTTTTACCACAGCTAGACAGCGTGAGAGTGCTTTAAATTTCAGGGCAATGATGTGAAGCCGATTACAAACTCCTCCGTCCAACTTGACCGAAATCTAACAAATGTGCCAAGACGAAAGACTGTTACTGACAGCTGTAACTGAAAAGGTTCAAAGCAATTTTACATTTGCCTCTACAAACACATGACATGTGGAGGGGGTTGAAAGTATCACATCGTCTTGGAGCAGCCTCATTATCCTCTTGAATCTTGTTATCAGGGACCTGAAGGTGTCCAATCTGCTGATGACAGACAAAGGCTGCGTTAAGATTGGTGAGTCATCACTATTATTATAACCCCCTCTACAGCTCTCACTATAATCATATTACTCCTGTACTGACATACATACCAAAGTCTGCCAGCACTGACCTTTGACCTCTCTCCCCCTCTGACAACAACTGCCTCAGACAACAACATACATCGCCCGCTCTCCTCAAACCTGTGTTTCTGATATGGAAAAATAAAAACAAAACCTTTAATTAAAAAAATAAATAAATAAATAACTACAACCAACAATACCAATCAGTCAGCTGAACAATGTTCAGCTGCTGATCAAGAGAAGACCAGGAAATGTGGTTGAAGTGGACCTTAGTTTAAAATTGTTCTGTTGACCCACTATGTATAAGTTCAAAAATGAACATTGACACTTTTTGATTTGTTCTGTGATCAATTAGTTGATTGATAGAAAATGAATCTAAAGCAATTATCATAATTGTCATATATTAAGCAAAACATGCCAAATATTCTGTGCTTCCAGCATTTTTAAAATGTTGGATTTTTTTTCTCTCTTTGTCAGTGTAAATTTCTTATCTTTGATTGTGAGTCAGAACAAGCTATTTTAATATGTCACCCTGGCTCTTCGGAAATTTTTATTGTAATTTTTATCAAATTAATTATTCATTTATTGAAAAAATTATCAGCAGATTACTTGTCAATGAAAATAAAAGTTAGTTGTAACCTAACGACATGTATATGAATTAATAGTAGTGGTTGTATTTTTTATGGATCTCCTTTTTTTGTTTCTGCTCTATGCAGCTGATTTCGGGCTGGCCAGAATGTACGGCATCCCACAGCAGCCCATGACGCCTCGAGTGGTCACACTGTGGTGAGTGTCTGCTGGGCCTCTTAGCCATGTTTACCGTGATTACTCCTTTAGCCATATTCTAATAATGTGTGGATGGGTGTGGCATGCTCTGCAGATAACCCTTGTGTTGTTTACGTTGCACTTGTGCAGCCTTAGTGGAAACTCCTACTTTTAATCTCTCTCAGCAATCCTTTATTAGCTCCGTTACCTCGGTTTGGCCTGCTCTCTGTCACGATATGCGTTCCCTCCCCCTCCTTCATCTGTTTGCAGGTACAGAGCTCCAGAGCTCCTCCTAGGGACCAAGACCCAGACTACAGCCCTGGACATGTGGTAAGGCTTCAACCTCTGTGATACAGAAATACACAAACGTCCACTTCATGCTCTTATCACATCTTAGAACACAAGGGACTCCCACCCAGGGAGGAGAATCTCTATTTAAAGGAACACTTCACCTCCCAAATGACCATTTGTAAATCAGTTACTCACCCCGTGTTACACTGAATTCTTGAAGAAAACTTTTCCTCACAGGGTGAATGAAGAGCCAAAAACAGAGAAAAAATCTTAGGAATTGAAGTCATTGGGGATCACTTTTAACAAGAGCAAAACTCCATCAAAACATCCATTCACAAACTGTGACACAGCTCAGCAGTATAACTGAAGTCTCATTTATCCAGTTGTATGCTCAGTACTTTGCAAACACATGCACTGAAACCTGACAACACTTCACACAAACAGTCTCAAGCACAGACGAGTGGCATGGTTTCTTTATCACAGTCAGAGATATTGCAGACTTTCTCTCGCACCACATTAAGAGCCAATAAAAAAAAAAGAAAGAAAAAGGATTCGTTGATAATCCCAAACTTTCCATGACGTGTTCTTTGCAGGGCTGTCGGCTGCATCCTGGCTGAGCTGCTGGCTCACAAACCTCTGCTGCCAGGAACCTCGGAGATCCAGCAGGTCGACCTGATAGTTCAGCTGCTGGGAACACCCAATGAAAACATTTGGCCGGTGAGACCTCAGCTCTCCATATCTCTTTCTCTTCAGCATAAACTAAACTCTATGATGTCTGGTGATGTTAAGGCAATATGCCAAACTGTGTGTGTGTGTGTGTGTGTGTGTGTGTGTGTGTGTGTGTGTGTGTGTGTGTGTGTGTGTGTGTGTCAGGGTTTTTCTCAGCTGCCCCTCATTGGTCAGTACAGTCTGAGGAAGCAGCCGTACAACAACCTGAAGAATAAATTCACCTGGCTGTCTGATGCTGGACACCGACTGCTCAACCTGCTCTTTATGTACAACCCACAGCGCAGGTACAGCTACACACACACTGAAACACACACACATACTGCCTTTGTCTTTTTTCTCATTAAAAAACACACATGTACGTGTACGGCTGACAGTCCTTTTTCACAGAAAACATTTAACAAGTCACAGTAATGCTGGCCGGGTGGCACGGTGGTGTGGTGGTTAGCACTGTCGCCTCACAGCAAGACGGTTGCCGGTTCGATCCCGGGTGTGGCAGCCCTTCTGTGCGGAGTTTGCATGTTCTCCCCGTGTCAGCGTGGGTTCTCTCTGGGCACTCCGGCTTCCTCCCACAGTCCAAAGACATGCAGGTTGGGGACCAGGTTAATTGATAACTCTAAATTGTCCATAGGTGTGAATGTGAGCGTGAATGGTTGTTTGTCTCTATGTGTCAGCCCTGTGATAGTCTGGCGACCTGTCCAGGGTGTACCCTGCCTCTCGCCCGATGTCAGCTGGGATAGGCTCCAGCCCCCCCGCGACCCTCAAGAGGATGAAGTGGTTAGAAGATGAATGAATGAATGAGTAATGCCGGCCTTACATCAAATGACTTCTAAGCAATTTCCCTGTAGCAGAAAAATATCAAGTGTCAACAACCAATAGCTGCACTTCAGCAGCAAAACAGGAAGCAGCAAACAAGCAACACTGTTGCCCTGATATGTCAACAGCATATCTGTCGTAGGTAACAACAGCTAATTTGGGGCAAGGTAATCTTTATTCTCAAACATTTTCTGTGTTAAACCGTAATCTTGATCCATGTCTTAAACTACTGTGTTGGATCCTTAAAGGATTTAGGCCTGGAAAGTAATTGAAAAGTCCTTGAATTTGATGTTTAAGAAGGTGTGGGAACTTGAGAAAAAAAAACATTTCAGGAAAACTAAAATAACTTGATAAGAGCGTAACTATTAACACTGACTGACAAAAAGACAGTAAAAAGTACAATGTTTTCCTGTGAAAGGAAGTGAAGTGTAAAGTAGCATACAGAGGAAATACTCAAAGTACAAGAGCTTCAAAACTGTACTTAAGATGAGTACTTTGGTAAATATACTTAGTTACTTTCCAACACTGCCCATAATCAATTAAATTATGTTATGTGACACTGATTATAAAAATATCCTTCTGTCTTTAGCAAGTGGTGCCAAGAGGTTAAAGTTTGGTCTTCATATTGAAAAGTTGGCTCCTCGCCACCTGCTCAGTAATATGATTTGCTGTTTATAATTCAGGAGAAAACATTTTCACAAAGCCTGCAAATGCCATGATAGCTCTGTGATGAAGTCTGTACCTTGGACTGTCACACCTTGAAGCTATGAAATGCTGTTTTTAAAATAAGCATAGAGGATCTGCAGTCCTTTTACTCTTGTAGCCTTGTCCAGTGGTGTTGCCATAGTTACTGCAAGGTTGGGATCAAAATCGTGTCCACCTCATCCCTGTGAATGATAATAGTTTACACTAAGTTACCTACCATATTCTCAGGATGACAGTATATGATGTGTCCTTTGAAACTGTATACACACAGACACATTCACATAAATTCCACAGATTAATTTGCTGTGATTATGTTATCATTTATTAATTATAATAAATCAGGAATGATCAATCAATAATTATTTTGTAGTTCAAGAAAGAGAAGTTTGATTTCTCAGGTTCACTTTGGCTCATCTGCATGCACATGTCTCTTAAGTGTGCTGAGTCATCCTTTCTGTAATCTCTCAAGACAGATTCTGCTATTTGTAAAGGAAGAAAAAAAAATCCTTTTTTTTTTTACCGATGGATTTCCATATTGTCCTATTGTCCTTTCTGTGATGTCAAACTGCTCTTCTGAAGAACTCAGGGGTGTGTGTGTGTGTGTGTGTGTGTGTGTGTGTGTGTGTGTGTGTGTGTGTGTGAGAGAGAGAGAGAGAGAGATAGATTATGGTAGAGGTGGTTTTAAGTCCAATCCAACCCAACTTTATTTGTAAAGCACTTTAAAACGACCACAGAGTACCAAAGTGCTGTACAGAGGAATAAATAAAAGACAAATGTGTTTTGCTAGGTGTTAATGTGTCTGTCTGTGGGCCTGTGGACAGATTTTGGCAACGCAGTAGCGTTAAAACAATGCAGTCACAAAACTTTACAGATGTGTAGTTGTGATCAAAGTGAATGCTGAGTTTGAAGATGGTTCTGGTCTAAGCAAGGGGGGCTGAAGTAGGTGGGTGGGAAGTAGGGAAGAGATCATTGCCCCTCTACTTTACACCCCCGTCCCATAATGCATTTTAATTTGTGGTCTCTAGTTTGACTCTGTGTCAGATATCATGTCAACATAGGACTAATTTGCTGTACTATTAAGGGCCAGGGGCCTATTTACAGAAGAATATCCTAACTGCTTGTCTTTTCTTAACTTAAGTTTCAAAGATAAGAAAAATCCTGTCTTCCTATTACATAACCAATTCCCAAACTCATGGCTGTGTCCATCCTTCCATCTCAGACCTCCCATTTTATCTTAAGAAATCCTAACAATAACTGAAAATTCAATTCTTCAATCAACACTCATACTGTCATGGCTGTATCTATGTTGAGAGGGTAAATAGACTGCCTGTATCTTTGATTAGAATGTACCTGTAGGCTACTCAAGACAGACATGCCATAATAACAACGGCTTTCACTTATCACTGGCTAGCCACCTTGCTATCATGCACAAAAAAGATGGCCATTCAATTTTAGCTATGAGGTGTAGAAGGCACAGATTCTGACGGTGGAGGATATTGATCAAATTCAAAATTAATTATTAATTTTTAAGTTATTAATGAACAATTATTGGTCTTTGCAGTCAATATATACCCACTAATACATAGTCCAAGAAATCTGAAGCATCATCATAGGTTGCAGTCTGAGTAGCTCTTCAATTATATTTTGGTGAGACCAAAAAAACAAGAGAAAGTGAGACAGACAGGTAGACCTGTTCTTGTACTTTGCTTGGGGATCAATAAGTCATAACCAAAAGAATACCAGTGCACACATTATCTTTCAGTGTTCCTGTTGTTTCCCATCTTCATTGTCATTTTCATTGCCATACAGACCTAAACAAAGTGCTTTCATCCATCTCATTTTGTGAAACACGATATCTCAAGAACACCTTGAGGGAATTTCTTCAAATTTAGCGCAAACATCCACTTTGAGTCAAAGATGAATCGATTAGAATTTGGTGTTCAAAGGTCAAGGTCACTGTGACTTTTCATCAGTCTCATTCTCGAGAATGTGATACTCAAGAAGGCCTCGGGGGGATTTTCACAAATTTGGCACAAACATCCACTTGGACTCACGAATGAACTGATTAGAATTTGGAGGTCAAAGGTCAAGGTCACTATGACCACAAAAAAAATGTTTTTGGCCGTAAGTTAGGAATTCTTATACTAATTATAACAAATTTTCACACAAATGTATAAGAGGATAAAATGATGAAGTGACGACATTTTATATCCAAATGGTCAAAGGTCAGCTTCACTGTGACATCATAATGTTCTGCAAAAACACTTTTCTATTTAACGTCATACCTCAGGAACAGAAGAGGAGACATTTGGTCAGATACTGAATTGTTGACACTAATCTTGAGTGTCCATCTTGAAACTGTCCCAATGAAAAAGGTTTTCTGTGCTGCCGGGGGGACGATGTGTGTGCCACATCCATGTTTTTACACACATGGGTGTAAGTTACTGCAACTTGACAGTATTGCAGAGGTATACAACTGCAGGGTGGTAATTCTAGTCATAATGCCAGAGATCCTAAATTTCATCCTAAAGTGAGGTAAGATAGGATTTCAGACTTAGGAAGTTTCTGTAACGAGGCCCCAGTGTGTTATTTCCCTGGACTCCATATCTGTATGATTAAACAGTATTGTTATATTTCATAGGAATTCAAAGCACAAAGACTAAGCTGATTTAAATACAACAAGTCTTTGTCAGATATGTTTAACTGTAAGAGCCATCACTGACTGCTTATTGTCTGTTTTTCCTGATCCAGAGCTACTGCCAAAGATTGTTTGGAGAGCTCCTACTTCAAAGAGAAACCTTTACGTGAGTGAGAAGGATATGGATGTGTCTCAGCTGTAACCCCTACCCTCTGATGGACTGTAAGTCATTAATCTTGTCTCTCTGCTTCTCTGTGCAGCCTGTGAACCAGAGCTGATGCCAACCTTCCCCCACCATCGCAACAAGCGGGCTGCTCCTGCGGCAGAGAGCCACTCGAAACGGAGCAAAGTGTGATGGAGACTGTAACGACGAGACATTGGACTCAAAGACAAACCTGTGGTGGTGACATTCTTACAAATGTGCACTCAAAGGATGGACGTTGGTGTCTGGCCACGCTAGATCTGCTCTTAAAGACTTACTCTGGAACTTTGAGCAAATGCAAAGCAGAACAGTTCGTATCAGTTTCAGCACAGCCACAGCAAACAGACTCGGATTAACACATTGCTGGACGGCTTTCACAGAGCTCTGTGTTCGGTATAATGCAGCAGAAGTCGTGAAAATTTCGAAAGGCTGCAAGAGCACATTTTCTGCTGTAGATCTGGTTGTTTGCAGCACTGTTCATGGGCTCAGTAGAAATCTCCTCTCTTAGGTTTCTGAAGTATTTCTTAATATTCACATTGCTGCCAAGGTCTGCGCGCTAAATGAAGCGATAGTAATGAGGACAATGTTGCCTTGACAGATATGCTGAGGTATTTCGTCCTTTGTGTGGAGCATTTGTCACATTTTTAGATGTGCTATTGTAACCGTCTCTGCTGTTCTGATAAAACTATGAAAGGGCACGGCAACAAGGAACTGAACCAACTTGCATAAGCTCAGTCTGCCCACAGAAACACTGGGTCTGTGTGACAGCCTCTCGTAGGGATTTGAGCAGAAGAATCAAAGGAAACGAGTTTGTGGCAAAATCATAAAAAGCTCTCAGGTTTGGTCCTCTCAGCATCAGTATAATGTCGATGACCAGCTGTGTGTCCTGTCGAAGTGTCCTTGAGCAGAAATACTGAACTCCTCAATGTACTTGCTTATTGTTATTGTTAAAGGAATAGTTTGACTTTTTGGGAAATATGCTTATTCCTTATTCCAGAGTTAGATAAGAAGATTGATACCACTCTGAGATGTCTGCAGGCTAAATACGTAGCTAGTTCTTATGTTGAGCTAACAGGCTGCTGGCTGTAGCTTCATATTTACTGCAGAGCCCTAAGATTTGTATCAGTCTTCTCAGGGTATTCCTTTAAGAGCCTCAGCTTCAATGCCTAAATGTACTGTAAATAAAGAGTGGCCTCATTAGAAGAAATCACTGAGAAGTGGTGTTGACTCCCAGCTGTCAATAAATAGGTAAAGATGATGGGAGAACTGTCTCAGACAGATATTTACTTAACTGGAATAGATACTGATAATGTAACTGTGGAGCGGTGATACCCAGCTTACTTTGCCAGGGGGTCCTTAATGCAAGATGACAGGAGGCCAGGGGCCAGTTGCAGCAGCCCTGTACAAGTCAGGTGTATGCATGGGCGTTTCCAGGATCTGAGAAGTTAGCCCAGATCCCCGTTGGCAGGGTCTGAGGAGTCTTTCCCTGGGACTTTTTTTCATAGTGTGAATACATTTATTTTTATTTTGACTTAGAAAACAGCTGGCGAGCCTCCCGGCAGCCTGTCATAGGCCAGATTTGGCCTGTGAGCCGCAAGTTGAGTATCACTGCTGTAGAGCCTCTGAATATGCTTGAACAGACAGTTCACCCCACAATCAAAGAACATATTTTTCCTCTTGCCTGTAGTGCTGTTATCAATCTGGATTGTTTGAACACAGTAAAAATACATTTGAAAACCTAACAGCAATATCTCTCTCCAGAAATCATGACCCGATTACTCAGGATTATTCACAGACTTTGTCGTGAGCAGTTTCATGAACGGTTTTCTTTCTACTGAACTACACCCGCCAACTGTATCGCCGCACAGAAGGATGTGCAAATACTGCTAGTTCACCTAGCACCACTGAGCTAGCTAATGTTATAGCTCAGCCCAGGAAGATGCTATTAATAGCCCCTTTTACACTGCCTTTTTAAGGTGGGAATTTTACGCCATTATACTGCCTCGCCATTCTGTATAAAAGGAACAGTCACGGAATGCGGGGACAGAGTTGTCTCACCATAAAGTCACCATGGGAGGTAGTAACAGCCTCAAAAAGGGACAGCCAGCAGGATGGGATCATGGGTGGCACGGGTATGATGTTTTGGCAACGTATTATGTGTGCAACCCATTGAAGGACATTTAAAAAGTAGCTGATAGCAGTTAGCAGCAAATTTAAAAAAAAAAGACGAATAGTGGCCAGAAATGTCTAAAAATTGAGAAACAATGTGGTCTGGGAGCCCTCCGAGCAGAGGACAAGATCAGCCAATATTTAACACAGAGAGTAAATGACTGTTATTGCCATTGTTATTGTTTATAAAGTGCTGCTGACGCATATGTGTTACGTTACACTAGAGGCTGGCGCTGTTGTGCTACAAGACACACCTCTTTTGCTTCCATGATGCGGGCATGCTGTCTAAAATCACACACTGGGGTGACATAATGTTACTGTTGTTTGGTTTTGTGTAAAAATGCAAAGCTGGCATGAAGAAGAGACTTCACAGCGGCCTAATAGTGCAAATTCTGTGTGAGAAGGGCAAATGCTACATCTCATGCTGTCACAAGTGCGAGCCTCTCACCTGTTGGTAGATGCAGGCTTCCTCCTCACAGTGATACAGATGGCGTGTGCAGATAAGTAGAAAGAAAATACTAGTTTTCACATGAAACTGTTCACAACAAGGTCTGTGGAATATCTTAAATACTGAGTCATGATTTCTGTAAAGAGACATTGCTGTTGAGTTTATTAAATGTATTTTTGTGGAGCTTTGAGCACCACATGCTGAGTGTCATTTAGTTCCATTAGATAGGAGAAAAGGCAGACATCTCTACAGCCGATATCTCTAACACTCGGCAACCCTCGCCAAAACAATCCAGACTGATAAACAGCTCTACAGGTAAGAGGAAACATGTATTTAGGTTTTTTCAGGTGAACTGTCCCTTCATACCATCAGCTATTAAACACAATAAAACTGTCAAACCGGCAACCATTCCTTTGTTCATTTGAAATGTCAGTTTTTATTAATGCAGGTTAAATTAGTAGTAATGGTTACATGGCCAGCGGCAGGTTGGGTCCCCTTACAGGGACGTTAATAACTGACCTCCCACTGAACCAGTATGTACCTCCACAAACACACAGCAATACTAGCACTGAGCTATCACAAGAAGTCCCATCACTGAGTTAGCAGACAAGCCTGTGGTTCTGGTGCGATAGTGAGAGGTCAGAGAGTTGGTACAGAACAAACATCCAATAGCAGATTTAAAAGATTATTTAAAACTAACTAACTGTGTGGTCCTGCTTCTCGATAGCCAGCAGGGCTCGCTTTCCTTATTGTCTGTTAGCTGACAACAGGACACTATACTATTTAAGCAGGAGAAGGAAAGCCAGCCCTGAACAGACAGTAATGAAACAATATGGTGGTGATTGCCTCAGATTTGAACTTTGTGTGTACATTTGCCTCCCAAAAGAAAAAAACAAAACAAGATTTTCACTGGAGCTCCTTCATGAAACATCAACAAAATAAATACTTCAAGTGTAAACGTTCTGTACGTCTATTATAGTCAGTCAAGTTACATGTCAGATGTGATCGAACAAGTTGTGGAAATAGTGTTCTGTAACACTGCAGGACAATTTATGACAGGGCAAACAAGACAAAATCAAAATATGCAGATTTAAAGAGATGTGCTTGATTGATTCTCTTACATGGGAGGAAAAAGAAAGAAAGAAACTGCAACACAAACTTCAATAAAAGAAAATCCAGGGCAGACCGCACATTCAGACAAGTGTATTCTGGGAAATGCAGTGCAAAAACTAATTTGAGTTGATTTAAACAGAGCAACTGGAGTTGAGGTTTAAAGTTCATCCTTGAAGTTGGAAGTAGCATTTCAGAAAACAGTCTGAGCTTTCGATCGTGTCACGTGATCTTCATCAGCAGATAGTTTGCCCAGAATCTCCTCTGAGCATTTCCTGGACCTCTCATCAATGTTGGCTTAAAAAGCTGTGGTGATGAAGATCATGTGAGATAATCAAAAGCCCCACAACAGCTTCTAAATGTTATTTCCAGGGTCAAGTATGAAATTTCAACCTCAAATTTTAAGCCAACGTGAATGAGAAGTTGTTAAATTTAACAATACTACAAGTGAACATCCGTTGAGGAAGCTCACCTGACAGTCTGAAAGCTCCAGAATAGCTAGTAAATGAACCTTGTGGTGAGATTACCACAGAATTAAAAAAAAACTTTTAAAAGATTTTGGACTGAGTGAATGAGGTGTTGGGACTCTCAATCAAGCACATCTCTTGTAATGTAAATATGGAACATGAAAGCCTCACTCAGACTTCTGCTGGCACAGAGGCACAGGCCTGATGCAGACACACACAGAGCTGTAGAGGGACACTGAGGCAGTGATGATCAATTAACTCTTCATCAAAAAAAAAAAAAACAACAGAGCTCCCAACATATAGACAAATACATTAAGACACAAGTTTCATAAAAACACTTAGATGCATTCACACACTCACATGCCTGGCAGGAGTACTATCTTTTTCTTTTGTTTCTCCTTTAAGCGTCACTGTCCTTCATTGCGATCCAAAGCAAAGTGCACGATGGCAACAAAATGTACAGTCCTTCAGTCAGAGAGAATCGGCTCAGAGAGGGACAAACTCAATGCATTTGGCTTCAAATGCAGCTTTCCTCGCATAAATGCAGGTTAGATGAAGAGTTCTTGTGGTGAATACACTGTAGCGGTTGCTTTGTAACTGAACATCTGAAATGAGGGTAAGACATGGGTTCTATTGTCCAACTACCAAATCACATCAAGATTTTCTACTATAGCATTTAGTCAACTTCCTCCAAGGATTCAAAAATTCTGGCCTGGATGATTAGAGGTAAGAAATACAAGATTTCCCACCCCTTTCATTTTTTTGTTCGAACAGACCAGTCTCTTCTTTCAAATCCATGAGAGGCAGTGAACCAAGCGCTCAGCTGAGAGATGAAAGCCTACAGGATGGTACAGCAGTTGGGGCATGGGGGGGGGTGATGAGTGTTGGTGGGAACAGTTTGACCCTTCTCGTGGACCGGGGAGAGGTGGGGCAGGGCTCTGTCTCTCAGCCCTCCATCCCAAAGTCCTCTGTGAACTTCTTAACCTTCAGGAGATCTTCAGTGTTGACTGTGGGACGGGTGGTGGACAGAGAGCGCAGCATGTCCGACTGCAACAGGACAGGAGATACATGTCACTTCTGGTTGACATTGTTTTTAGACTCAATTCTCCACTAGACTCATAGACAGGTTACTGCGTTTCTAATAACAAGCTGCTTAATAATGTAACTGAAAATAAACTGGCATATTAAAGGGTAAACTCATTCATAATTTCAACCTGGACCCTATTTTCCCATGTCTTTGTGTCTAAGTGACTAATGGGAACAACAATATTTTAAATTGGTCCATTACTAAGCAATATAATCCTCAATTTTGCCACTGACAGTCTTTGACTGGTTTTGTAAGTGTCTGACAATGGAAAGGACACCAACAGAGGTTGTTAAAGATCGTCAAACCCACCAGACTCCATTTACATAAACAGTAATTTTACCCTCGTAAAACGCACTTCATTCAAAGTTGACAGAAGCAAAATAAAATTCACAAACGCCCTCTCGGTCAAACTTTCCACTGTTCCAACAATCACCCACTCTGGTTTGTTTGAAATAACCCCTTAATTCACCCACTTAGCTGTAAAAATGTGCTGTTTCTATACACGCTAAAATTACTGTTTATTTAAATGAAGTCTGGTGGGTTTGGCAATGGTGATTTTAGGGATGTTTCTGGTTAAACAAAAAGGATCTTACTCTTTCACAAGAGGTCCACCTTTGTAAGGATCCTTTATATAGGTTGTCAGATACTTAAAATAATAATCTGAGCCTGTTGGTGGGTAAAACAAGCACTCTTTGTGGACGTAAATGGATGGTGCACAAATGCCTGTGAGTTTAAATGGCAGATGGTTGAGCTGCTGCTGACTGCAGCGATCTCACTCAATGCTGGACCAATTTCAACTGTTGTTCCCATTTGTCACATGGACACACAAACATGAAAAAATAGGATCCAGGGTGAAAATTATCGAAGCTACCCTTTAACTGTGACTAATACATTTTATTCCACACAGGACTGGTTGATTATAGCTGCAGCCTTTCCACTCTTATTCCATCACTGCAGCTCTGGTGAAAAACTTGTGACTTTCTGAAAATGCTGTAGCATTTCTTTAGACTTCAAATATTTACAAATCAAGTTCTATCATATAAATAAAATATAGACATGCCATTTCTGTCAAACAGACCTTTTGAAGCATTAATTTGTTTCCTTACAACAATTCAGTTCCAAAAGATTAATCATCTGTAATTTACTGTAACTTCGGCAGCAGAAACAACGTTGCTTTCAGCAGTTACACAGTGCTGTGTATCATTTGGATTTATTCCTTACAATCCATCTACAGTCATAAGAACACAAATGAAATCCCTTTGTTTCCCATACTTAATCCAGCCTACATAAAGCACAGCACACAGATACAATGTGTGCTTCTGTTGCTCCTTATTCTCTTCTTGTTGTGTGTTTACTTACAGTTTTAATTAGTGTGGGTGTATATGTGACAATTGTTTTGTGACAATGAATTAACTTGCACATATACATTATGTTATTTTTTCTGAGGTAAGGTAGGAATATTGACGGGGTGTCCATTCAAAAATGTTGAAGCACCTGTTCAGTTTTAGATCTTGTGTAGTTGTTACTATGGAGATCTGAAACGACGAGCTCCAGCACTGATCATTTCTGTGTTGTCATTAATATATGTGTATCTCACCATGCAGACTATGGGCTCCAGTAGCTTATCACTAGGTACATCCATCCAGGTCATCTCTATGGCTGCAGGGTCGCCAGGGGAACAAGGAGTCAAGAGGTCGTCCACCATCACCTGGTTGTTGCTTCGGGATGGGCCGCGAACCTGCAGGAGTGAGGATAAGAAAAAACGTTGAATAGTAATGAAAGAATTATTAACCATACCAAATATTTGACTGAGCTTTGAAGATTTAACATGTTTCTATGGATTTCTATTCACGTCACCTTTTTGAAGTGGGTGGCAGACTGGACCTTCCTAACAGGCTGCATGAGAGCGTCCCGGACAATAATGCTGATGTCAGCGCCAGAGTAACCGTCTGTTTTGTGGGCGAGCTGCCGCAGGTCGGCCTCGCTCAGGCTGTGCGGTGTGTTGCCCAGATGAAGACGAAACATCTGGGCCCGAGCTGGCTCCTCCGGCAGAGGGATGTAGATACGCTTTTCAAATCTGACACACAAAAGAGGACAAGAGCCATTCAATCGCACAATCACCAGCTGTTCAAGTCATAGAGGACAGAAATGCTCGCAGGTATCGCTCACATCTAAGACTCTCAAGAGCTTCTGAAAGCTGCCTGGAGCTGAAACTGACACTATAAAAAAGGACAGAATATAAAAACACAGGACAGTATTTTACAATTGTGTTAAGTGAAGCAGCAACATTGATAAAAATAATACAACTGTCATATTTTGGATTACCCCTGATGTGCATAAAGCCATAGTGTCAGGGGGTTATCTCGCTTTCTGAATGGGTTTAGTGAATCTACAGATGTATTCACATTTGGCTTATTTCATGCACCTTGCATTTCATCTGACTCAATCAACTGACAATGCCACCATCTACTTACTTTTACTATTACGGGGTGTCTACAGGTTTCAGACACTTAAATTTAATGCCTTTCAAGACCTTTTCTGTATTATTTTAACCAAAGCTAAGACTGACTTTTAAACAAATCATCTTTCTTATTCAAGCACTGCAGATATGTATGTTAAAACGTGCTGGTTTATCCATGCCAGTCTTTATCTTTATGAGACTATTGCCCTATCCTAGAAGAGCACCTGCTTTTTTTTATAACTAACTAAACAGCTCAACCCAGTGCAGCACTCCCTATTTCTTTCCTCAGTATCATTAAATTTAGGCATTTTAAGACTTTTAAAAGGACCTACAGGCACCCTGCTGTTATTTACCAAGATAATTAACAAATATAAAACTGAACTATGAACACCAAAGTATACATAAATTGTGTTTGGATAACTGGGCAGACAATAGGCCTATATACTGTATATATACATAGTTCCATCAGTTTCTTATTGCTCTGTATAATTGATAAAAATAATGAATGTTAGAAGGGTAGGTGTAATAAACTAAGGCTTCAGCCTACACCTGTTTTGTTTTGTTTTATAATGCTAAAAAAGGCATTAACTTCATGTTTATTCATTGTCTATCTATCAGTACATTTGTGTTTTATAAGTTGGAAAGTGACCAAAATAAATTAACTAAATAAAATAAATACAAAATAACATATTTCAATAATTTTAAAGTCTCTAAATATAAATGATTTATATGCCGTTTGAATAAATTACTCTTAGACTTGTCAAGTGCAGCCTCCTTCTTTCTCATTGACTCTGGTGGCTCATATGACAATAACTGTCTGGTCCTCTGACACTGACTTTGTTGCTGTCTTTGCGTGACAACTGAAATACACTACCTTAATGGTAGTGTATTTCAGTTGTCACGCAAAGACAGCTGAAAACCGCCTTCCAACGCAACTTATCAGTGACTTTAGGTCTTTTGGGAATTTAAAAGGAAAATGATGGAAATGGACAACGTGCTGCTAAGATGTGAAGACTGAAATTTAACTATACACCACTACAATAACTTCTATTCATCTCAGAGATAACGACCATGCTCCAGTTGCCTTAAGTCATAACCTTTATACATAATGTACAGCAACAGTGAAATGTCTCCTCTGACTCACAGGGATGAATTTAGGTCAAATAATTGGTCATTTGAATAATAATAAGACACAGTCAGGACGAGACAAACACACATTCAACCCAGGAGTATTGTAGTGCCCTCTGACCTTCTGCGGATGGCAGCGTCTAGCACCCAGGGGATGTTGGTGGCTCCCAGCACCAAGATACCATCGTTGTTGTTTCCCACACCTACAAAATCAGAGATCTTCAGTCAGCTCAATATGAGCACTTTCTGCTTCTCTGTGTCCATGCCGGGTTATGTATTTGCATTTTTAAGATGTCTGTAGTTTCCTATTGATCTTTATCCTCATCTCATTCGGCTCACCCTGCATCTGGACCAAGAACTCTGTCTTGATACGGCGCGCGGCCTCGCTCTCATTCTCGTTCCTGGAGCCACACAGTGAGTCCACCTCATCGATGAAGATGATAGAAGGTTTGTGCTGGCGAGCCAGGTCAAATAAGTTCTTCACCAGCCTGGGAGACACAGGGAGAGATGGAGGAAGTGAGACTGAGAGAGACACTCGGACAGCAATACTGAAGGAATTAGTGAATGCAAGCAGCAGAGGTGAAGAGTGTCCCTGACAAAAACAGAGAGAACTGCCAGTCTGGGTTGAAATGGATTTACTCCGAGTTGTAAGCATCCTATATTCTGTCAAGGCAATGTGTTTAAACAGTTTCAAAAATCTGATAGGCCCTCTAGCCTCTGATATAATGTAAGAGATGAGATAAGAGAGAGGATATTGTCATTTAACTCTATACAGTGCAGTATACACAGGAAAGACACTGTGTTGTATTTAAATGGAGTCTGGTGAGTTTGGGGATAGCAATTTTGAGGCTGTTTCTGGTTAAACATAAAGGTCTAACTTTATGGGTATTCTTCCCATAGTGGTGTCAGATATTCTGAATAATAATCTGAGCATGTCAGTAACAACAACAAGCACTTTTAGTGGACGTAAATTGACAGTGCACAAATGCCCTGAGTGGTTACACTGCACCCTGTTTAACAGCTGACAGCTGCCATGGTCTCGCTCAATAATAGACCAATTTCAAGAACTGATCCCCTTTGTCACTTAGACACAAAAACATGGGAAAATAGGATCCAGGCTGAAAAATACCCAAGTTACCCTTAACATTTAGATTGTTCACGCATTGTTGACAGGATGAAGAGTCAGATTTTCACTCTAATTAGGCTGAAAACACCTGATAAAATCAACATCGAAAAGAAGTTAAAAACACATTCTGCTATATTTCTGTACTACAACAAATGTGTCTTTCCCTGTGTAGAGTACAACTTCAGACAGCAACCACCCCTGAGGAACAGACGTACTTCTCACTCTCTCCCAGCCACTTGGACATGAGGTCTGAGGAGGAGACAGAGAAGAAGGTGGAGTTATTGGCCTCGGTGGCCACGGCCTTAGCCAGGTACGACTTCCCTGTTCCCGGAGGACCAAACAGCAGGATGCCTCTCCATGGAGTCCGCTTGCCTGAGAACGCAAAGACCAGAAGTAATGTTAGACACGTCATCCTCTGATCAATTCAGACTGTTATGACAGACCAGGGGCGAGAATCTGAGAGAGTTTGGGCAGTTTTGGCTTCATAAATGATTAACTGAATACCAAAATTGTTGCCAACTAATCTCTTGATCAATCGTTTTAGCTCTGTGCACACCCATCATCATCACATTATTATACAACAATGCATAATGTATATTTTTAGCTCCAAGCACATCTAAAAAATTTACTAAGGAAAAATATTTCAAACTACACTGAACAAAAATTTAAATGCAGCACTTCTCTTTTTGCTCCCATTTTCACAGGTTTGGGTTACAGATCCAAGACTTTTTTCATCAACTTACAAATCAGATACAGTTCTTTCACATTTTGGTCGCCAATTTGTTAAAATCATGTCAGTAAGCACTTCTATTTTCCATCCATCCATAATCCATCCACCTGACAGGTGTGACATATCAAGATGCAGATTAAAAAGCATCATTACTGCACAGGTGTGCCTTGGGATGGTAAAAGATAAAAGATCACTCTAAAATGTGCAGTTTGATCACAAAACACAATGCCACAGAAATCAAAAGTCTTGAGGGTGCATGCCATTGCCATGTTGACTGCAGGAATGTCCACCAGAGCTGTTGCCTTTGAGCTGAATGCTCATTTCGCTACTATAAAACGTCTCAAGTGTTGTTCCCTTGAATTTGGCAGTACATCTGACTGGCCTCACAACTGCACAAGCGGGTTACAATAATAAAGTGGTCGGGTCAAGACCCTAGTGAGAACAACAAGCATGCAGATGAGCATCCCTGAGACAGTTTCTGACAGTTTGTGCATTAAATCTTCTGATTGTGCAAACCATTTGTTGCAGCAGCTGTCACTTGGCTGGTCTCAGACAATTTACAGGTAAAGATACTGGATGTGGAGGTCCTGAGCTGGTGTGGCTACATGTGATCTACAGTTCTGAGGCTTATCTTGGAAAAGGAGAAGTACACAGATTTTAACAAATCTGCCACCAAAATTTGAGAATCTCTTGAGTGCATTAAAATGTCTTAGATCTTTTTTTTTAAAAAAGACCTGTGGTTAAGTGCTGCATTTAAATTTTTGATCAGCATATTTGATTTCAGTGTATGATAATTAATGGGTGTAAACAGAATTGGAGTGGGAATATCCTACTGTACCTGTAAAGAGGTGAGGAAATTTGATGGGCAGGATGACAGCCTCCTTAAGAGCTTCCTTTGCTCCCTCCAGTCCAGCCACGTCATTCCACCTGACATTGGGCTTCTCCATTACGATGGCACCTGGAAACACAGGCAGAGCATGATGAAGACTGACAATACAGATGGCAGAAACACTCCAAAGGTGATTGTGCACCTGTAGCCATTACACAAAAAAAGACCATATAACTCCACTAAACCTAAGACTACTACTGATAAAAATAAGAATTATGCAAGGTAACATTTGATCAGAGTGTGGTGTTATTGAGCTATACAAAATTATCTATTAACTATCTAACTATTTTGCCCCATGCACATGAACTCACCCATAAGTTGCTCCTGTAGTTTCTTCTTCTCTGGGTTTTCACCCTCACTGTCACTATCACTCCTACACCAGACACAAACACAGAGGTTGACACAAACACAGTAAAGCCCACAGAATTGAACATATGTTTTGAGAGCGCAGAAGACAGACAGCATACTTGTCATTGCTCTGTGCCTCCTTGACAGGCTTCTTGCCCTGTTTGTCTTTATTTTTCAGATAGTCTTTGAGTTTCTCCGCTCTGTCCAGGTACTGCATACACTTCGCTCGTATACTCTCCTTCGCCTTGTCGCTGTGGGCCTCATCTATGAGAAAGACAGAGTTCCAAACAACAATGTGAGAAAAACCCACTAATGTTAAACTAATTTCAACTACCTATCAGGCTGCAGCACTCACATTTGATGGCATGTAGGAAATACTCCACAGCATGCTGGTACAGTCGCAAGGCCTCCTCATAATTCTTTGCCTTGTCTTCCTCTGTGGCTTTGGTCACAAGATCAATCGCTTTCTACAACAGATGCAGAGAGACACAGTCAGAGGGCAGATGTAGGCATAGATGAACTGGGGGTGGAGACACAATAAAGGCAGGGAATGTGCACATTAGTCATCCTCACATCAGCCTGCACATGTCAACACTGGAGCTTCAACCAAAACAAAGCCAAAGTTAAACAACTAGCATAACATGTTAGACAAAGGGATCCTGATAGTTTCTGTGATATACAACAAAATCCACTGGTTACTTCTCAGGGCAATTAAAGCACAAAAAATAAAATGTTCCGTTACGTTATAATGTTTTTTTCTTTCTTTATAGCTGTCAGTGAGGAGGGGCTATAGCCCGGCTAACGCTGAGAGAACGGTTGCTAACGTTATAAACATCATCCAGCAGAGCTTTAACGTTAGTGAGCAATCCACAAATGCACAACCTACATCAGTATTAGTTAATATTATTGTTATACAGCAAGTAGTTAGCTAGTGCAGTAACCTTAGCTCTTGCTAAGGCTAATCTTATATCCAAGACAATGTACTGATAGACTGTTTGCAGGCTCAGTTACCTAAACTGGCTTGCTCACAACATTAGCAGGCTTTAGCGTCAGCTGTTCTGCTAGCACGTTAGCTTGCATTCAAGCAGCTGTATGAGCTAAGCCGAGTTATATGCAGTTGTAGCAAGCTAACGGTAGCTAGCAACTATTAGCCTACCTGTAATGTTGACGTTGTCATTTCATCTCAGTCTTGCGCTCTCCTCCCAGATTTCTATCCTCTGACCCTACTAGAAGGTGGATATGTTAAAAAATGAAGTCGTTAGCAGCCCTGTGTTGCGAGGGGGTAGGTTGTTCTTGACATGACAAAACAGTAGCTAATGCGTTAGCTAGCTAGCTGATATGACAGCTCTGCCTCGACTCAACAAACCACAGCAACAACGCTGCGACTACCAACTACAAGCTAGCTGACACAAAGACAACTTCCGGCTGACACTTTAAAAATATAATTATTACAAGCTTATGTCTGCAAAAATGACAGAATATACACATTGAACAACTTAAACAATATTTTATCCATAAGATTATCACTATTAAATTTAATTTTGTTTTTATTGATTTTTTCCGTTTTCTTAAACACAAAATTATACGAAATAAGTCTGGGAATATATGTACGAAGGTACATTGTGCTACAACACAAATACAGAAATTAACAATAGAGGTAAAAGAGGTATTATTTTGAAAATTAAAAGAGAAAAATGAATTTTAACGAAAATGCAACAAAAATAAAAAGGAGAGACAATCAGGTAAACAAATAAGGAGCACAAAAGGCAGGGTAAGAGACATTAATTACACATTAATACAACTTTTAGCTTTACTATTCAATTTGTACTATTTCAATTATATTTTAGCGATTTGAAATAACGTTAATGGGCAAAGTAATTTGTAACCACAGTGAAAGAGGGAGCACACCCTTTCCACTTACAATTATGAATACAATATTTACCCAAAATAATCCCAAGATTAACAGTTATGAAATGTTTGCATCCACGTTGTCTATAAAATAAACTATTTCAATATAACTAAATGACGGTTTATTATCCTTTTTTATGACCAGACCTAAACAAATTTACATATGGACATTTAAAAAAAAGGTAAATGGTTTTATCTTCTGAGGAACAAAGTGTCTACTTCAAATTTAAATCTTATGTGAAGAAAATAATTAACAGGGTATAATGCTGACAGTTTTAAAGTAGGTTTCTTTGGCTTAAGGAGCAACATGGCATGGTAGATTAAATAAAAAGGACATTTTCCTTTAAAGGGACCTCTATATTACTTAATACAGAGCATGAGTTCAAGTCCCTCCGAGTTTTTGTGTAAAAACTATGCTCATCATTTTGTTAACAGATTTTTGATCCATCAAATTAACATCACCAGAGGAAGAGAAATCCGAGAAAACTGCAACGTTACTTTGTATCATAAGACGTAAAGGATTTGGAATTGCTTTGCAGATTTGGTGATAACCTTTTGTTAAAAAGAGTATTATTAAACTTTATAAAAAATATCAAATGATCATCTGAACGTAATAAGTCATATACAGAAACCCTTGTTATACTAAACAACTTTAAAATGGATTTTCTAATGATAGTAATAACCCTGTTGCTCAATGATAGAGAATTGTGTGGTGATAAATCCAACAACGTAACAAAGGAAGCTGCTGCTGGCTCCACCTAGCGGCCATTTTGGTGCCATAGCAGTCGTACTCCCATAATTGAAAAAGACACATGCTCACAATAAGACAGGAAATATATACATTGAAACACGTGTGGACATAAACACCGAGAAAAACAGTCAGAACATAAAATGAAATTAGAATATTGTCTTTATTACAGCCTACATGTAAATCTCCACAACAAACCACACATCAATCTATGTAATTTGTAACGGTTTTATTGGTAGGTATTTACATTTGAGATTATTACATTGCTATCGTACATTGTATACTGTATCTTGGAAGGAAGTCTAAAATACTTTGCATATGACAGGTTGTTGCAGCAGCACTTTATCCTGTTGTGACTTTTCAGTTCAATGATTGTGTTGGACGCAAGCTGCCACAGATATTACCTTTGGTTTCAAAAACCCCTTCTTTGAAGCATTGCTTTGCATAGACAGGATAGCCACGATTTCAGAACATATAGAGAAAAAGGATGAAAAATAATCACCTGGAAGAGGAGGGGAGGTGTACATTCACAGATTTAAAGGGGTTTGTTAGGTTAGTGCATCAAGCTCGAAGAGGGACGGCCTGTAGCTCGTTGAAGGTTGACCAACTTAAGACAATCAGATCTGTGCAGTGAGTTAGAGGAACACGATTGACATAAAATTAAAAGTGTGGTTAATAACTCGAACCTCCCACATGCAGATAATAGTTTAGGGGAAGCAAAGTCTGCCTCGCCTACTGACTATAGCTTGAAAAAGAACTATAAGCTACAACAACTAGTTAGCTTACATAAAAAAGCCCCCCAAAAAGTTGTTTAAACCATCACAAGGACATCAGCGTCCAAAATAGAATAAAGGTCATTCAGAGTGGTGACTGTGTTCCTTATCCGAGGACAGAGGGGATATCTTGTTCTCCTATGTTGCACGGTCAGTGGACACAATGGGACATTGTTTGAAACCCAAAAGAACACAGAGGCTCTACTGAAGGGAAGGGCTGCTTTAGCAACTTGTACCATGATCCAGCAGAGAGTTATGAAAATGTTAATTACAGTCATGCTGAATTTATAAACGATAAGGTCTCAACACAATATGGAAATAGATTTGCCTCGGTATTATTTGTGTTCAGTTCAGATCAACAATCTGTGTTAATGTGTAATTCATACATATAAAATACAAAAAAAGATTTGTAAACTCAAAAATCTGTGTTGTTAATATAAAATGGATCTGCAAATACACAAATACATTTAGGTTACAAATAAATGAAAAGCATTTGTAAATATATTCCTGAAATCTACAGCTTTCAAACCAGCTTTTACTTGTGAATCTCAAGTCTACGCATATTATGCACACTCAGTCTTTTTCTTAAAGTTTTGGAATTTGTTTGTGTATTTTCCATTCTGTTTTATATATGCAAAGTATTTTTGCAAGTTTACAAAAAGGATTAGGGTTTTTTTGTATTTGTGAAAATTGTTTGATATTTACAGATCTACAGATTTACACACAGACTGTCGATCATCTCACACAAATAATACTGAGATAAATCTGTCTCCATAACACAGGCACCGGACTGAACAGAAGAACTGAAGAGAAGATTGTATTGAGTTTAGTTAGATAACTTCAACCCACCTCAATTTTAGTAACAATTTAAAAAATGAACTAATATAGGGGTACTGTACCAAAAGTGGTACGTAAAATAGATAAATAAATGTCTGTTTTGGTGGTATTTACTATTGGCGGAAACTTTAAAAATAAAGTTTCATAAGAGCGTAAACGTTTATTCTTGAGCTTGGAAACGGTAGTTTAACAAATAACCTTAACTCTAGGTCCATTTACTAACTTTTTTCCAGAGCTTTTAACTGCACCTCACTGTCTTCATCAGTGGATGGAGTTTGCTCAGTTGTCGTCAAGTGACCTCACACTTGACCTCAGTTGGCTCTGTTGTTAGTGTAAATAATAATAATAATCTCAGACGTTTGATAAAAACTACTCCAGACCAAAAGCATTGAATAGGAAATGGGCAAAATCTCATCAATGTTAGTGGACAGCTGGAGAAAGGTCAAGGAGTCATTCACGTCTGATAGCAGAGACCATCGCCCCCAATCTACTACAACGTGAGTTAAAGGGACTCCATGCTAAATTCAGAGCGTATGAGCTGTCTGGACATGGTTCCCAAAATGGAGGTGGCTGAGCCAGTGGCTAGCAGCTAATGATGCTAACTCTGTAAACAGTGCTAAATAACAGCAACAGTGCTGACAGAGCAACAACAGTGTTAACCAGGGGGAACTGGGAGGTGGCCGCTAACTAACTCCCGATATCAGCAGTAACCGCCCTATGAACGCAGTGCAAAGTGATGGCGATGAGCTATGCAGTGGGACACACACATGCACTAACATGCACGGGCCAGCTTACCACAACAAACCACAGAGAAGCTCAGATAACACCACACACAGAGGGAGCATAACTTTGTTCTCTGCTCACAATGTCTTTACTCCACTATATCTTTACATAGTAAATAGTGGTTTGCTGCTATATTAGTGATCTGCATGCCATACGCACAACCTTTAAGTTCTAGGCTTCGGTCACGTAATTACAGCTGAGTCATCTATATGACAAGTGAGACCATTATATGTAACTGAGAGCTCCAAAAAGAAAGCCAGTCTTGGACCTGGAGTTAAGATCATTTTCTTAAACTTGAGACAAAAACGGAAGGAAAGGACCACAATAAGCTAAAGGACATAAAGTGTACAGTAACTTCCCTTCTGCAGGGGTTCAGAGGAGGTGTGACGTGTTTGACCACTGTAGTTCGGATTACGAAAATACAATGGTACTTCTGTCATGTGGTGGCCCACCTTGACATGAGCCTGTGAAACAGTCCTTAGCCAGAGAAACGCTGCTGTAGGAATGGTAACAAGAGACCAGTAATCTCAAGGAAAGTGGAATGAGATGATGGCGACAGTGAGACGGAGACAACGTGGTAGTGTAGGTAAAGAAGGGGAGGTAACACATGTCGTATATCATCGTCTGATACAGAGGTCAATGTCAGGAAGTCATGCTATCATTGAGTATACACTTAAAAAAACAAACGCCATAAAAACAAAGTAACATGGTTTACACTATAAGAGTAATACTATTGCTTGCACATGTTGAAAGCTTGAAATTCTCTTATTGTGTGAAATTAAAAAAAAGGAAACATTACAAAGAGTGTCTCTGACTACATGTAAAAAGGCACAGTTGGCAATCCTGATTACAACAGTAGTTTGGGATAATGTGCTAAAAGGTGGGTCTGTCAGACAGCAGGCACACTATCAAGCCAACAGAAGCGTGTAGTATAGACACACACACACACACACACACACAGACCTTTCTTCATTCACATAATCTCTGTTTAGTTAACTGCACTCTGACTCTAAAACAGCGTAATTCACTCACACGTCTACACAGACACAAATACATTAAAAAGAGCCCAAAGTACATTGGAAGGCTGTCACGGAATGATAGGCATAGAGTAAAAACAGGGAGCGTTTACCAGTCTGTGCTTGGCTGTGTATTAGTTGTCTAAAAATCCTTCCTTTCCATAATATATTTTAGCAACACTTTGCTTGAAGTGCACTGGTAATGGAATCTCATAAGCACATCACAGCATCTTAACTTTTTTATTTTTTTAACATATCAGATAATTAAATTTAATACATTATCACATGGAATGTTATGAGATTGTTAATAGCTATTTTTTGCACGTTGTGACTGTCTCCTCACACCTCATGACTTCAAGCAAAGTGCCACTTCCTTTTACCTGACCTCGCAATCCAAATAACTGCAAGGAAAAGTTTGGAAGAGAAGGCACGATTTCTAGACAATTGACAATACAACTCGTGGGTTAAATCTTCCCTGCAGCTTCAGCTGTGAATGGAGGAATTGGAAAAAAAAATTAAAATAAAGAATCAACCCCCGGTATCAGCATTTTGGGAGCGTCTCCCCCCTCCTCGCTGTGCCTGGGCACGTCCTCTGGTCCACACTGCTGCTGTTGGTTGTTTCACGTCAGGAGGCCCATACGAGTGAGCTTGGCTGACAGGAAGGAGTGGAGGACAAACACCACTGGCTTTGGACCAGAGTGGAGGTCAAATACCTGGAGGATAGAGGGAGGAAGTAAGGAAGGAAAGAAACAGCAGAGTAGATGGAACAGGAAAAGAGGGATATTAGAATGTAAAAAAAGGGTCAAACTCTGATTTCTACAACCTCCTTGCATCTACTGAAATGCAGATTATTAACACTATATTATGCAGATCACATTACTACAGTAAACACTTAATTTGAGTTCCTAAATTATGTGTACAGTCACTTTGTGTGTATCTGTCTGTCCACAGTTAATTTCATAAACTACTGAACCAATCTGCCCCATATTTTGTGTGCACATTTATGATTGTATGTTCCAGGTCCTCTTGTGGTTGCAGTGACTCACAATTGTTAAAAACCCATGTTATTGACTGTTTCATGCATTCGTTGACTTTTGATTCCCCACTCCTCCTAACTGGCTGGTCGGGGCAAGTCCTTAACAAAATCACATAGCAGCAGCAGAGAGCAAAATGCATTTTTGGCACATCAGCTAGGCTAAAACAAGAAACCACACTTGTTGCAGGACAATCCCCTTTCTTTGTTATCGTTGCCGCCATACTGACAGTTTAAAAAGACGTACAAAGAAGTAACTTTTTACAAGGTACAGAAATGAAGACTGGGATTGTTGTGCACACTAATGGTGATATTGATATTGTTGTTGGTTTTCTTTTTTGGGTAGTGTTGTTGATTACAAATGTTTATATAAAAAACATGAACAGACTGGTTCATGGTTCATAAAATACAAGGCAATGTCACATCACTTCGACTGCGGAAAGTCTCCGACAGATGTCTTCATATATGAGTTTCATTCTTTCTGACAGCCAGAGACTGTGTAAATCTAGGTATTACATACCATCTCTGGCCGTCACCCAAAAGTCACATAGCTGTATTTACATGCACATCTCTGTGGATCCATGTGTCACATAGTTGGAGTTCCCCTTCAACATTTCAAAATGGTGACTTTAGTGCCCCCAAATGGTATTATCAAAAAAGACACTCTGGCCCCCCCAGAAAAATCTCACATTACAATGAGCGAGCTTAAAGCAACACACAGACTGAACAAAGTTTCACTTGAAGTATTTTTTTCTACAAACCTGTGTTATCAGAATAATTTATACGTTTCCAAATCACTTAAAAAAAATCTATATTATTTTAGACTAAAGAACTAATTAAAAATGTTCGATAAAAGTTACAATGATGTGTCACATGATGAAGTAATCCACCTGCTCTCCAGCAGGAGTATAAAATGGTGAAAAGTCATGACATCATATCAAATATTACAGTAAATCTTATTTTTCCCATTGTCTTAACTTACCATTTCTCCCTCTGGACCCCCAAAGTCAAGGTAGAGGTTGCGTATTCCGTCATCGGCGGACATTTTGAGCTTCTCGTAGGGGTATCTGAACAGCACAGCACCCCCGGCTGGATCTGCCGGCTCCCTCGTCACAGTGAAGCCCTTCTCATAGTGCAGCGTCAGTCGAACATCCTGTCTGTTCAACGTGCAACCTGGAAGAGAAAAAAAGAGAGCTTCAGAATGGCGGGGGAGCAGGGTGAGAAATGTACCAGTGGGTGAGTATAATGTGTACTGCATGTTTAAATAACTGCATGGGATGCTTTCTTTGGTCCTACCAGTGATGCTTTCTGTCACCTGAATAATAACTTAGACAAAGTTAATTTACAGAATCTGCTCCTCTCTGCTGCAGCCCAAAGACAAGTGCATCTTTCATATAAAAATCCTGCACCGTGCAGCTTAAGCTGTGTCGTCATTTGATCCGAAAGCATGTGTATTACTGTAACTTGACTTGGCTTTAATGTTCCTGCACAACTGTAGAAGGACAGGGAAGACGAAAAAGGAAAAAAAAAAAAAGGCTGATTCTTTCCAGTGCTGTTCCTGCAGCCAACTATTGTTCAGCACAGAGTGGAAACATTCCCCTCTGCTGGCTCCCACTTCTGCTTTTCCTGCAGAGCTGCTCTCTCTGAGCTACGGCACACTGTGAGTGTGCCAGTTGCTTTCAGGAGCTTCCTGTCAAAGTCAAAGTACTTTGGCATTTAAATGCCTATGTATGTACATAGAAATATTTTATCTGTGCTTCCCTGGAAAAAAAACTCATGTACAAGCATTACATGAGGTATAATTTCTCTAGAAAAGTAACTTCCTCTTGTTATTCACTTAATAGAATGATGATTTCATGCACAAAGGTGAACCCACATCCTCTGGTTAAAGGTCTGCTTACTCACTCTGCCATCCTGCTGCCAACCTATCTGCACCGACACAAACCACACACACTGAATATAAAACAAGCACGTTCATCAAAACTTGTATACACGAGCCGAGCATCCCTGTGGTGCTCAGTCCACTCTGTGGCATTGTTTGAGGTTGTAGCCTGTGGTGTTGTATTGTATTGCAGTTTATAGTGAAGTGTTTCCTGTGGACAAGAAAAAAATGCCTGGGGTGACCTTACATTTAAATCAATAAGCATTATCAACATTTACCTTGATGACAGTTATTGTGGCGATATATGTGTGTGTATATATATAGATATATATATATGTATAT